TAACCTCTCCACATAATGCTTGCTATCTTATCTTTATTCCTTCTTCTATAAAGGTGGTCAACAACAAAAGAAGAAGAGACTCCTTAAGCTAGAAAAGGAAAAAACTGAGCTTCCAGAGACAGAAGAAGAAGAAGAAGATCAAGAACAGGAGTCTCCCTTGAAAAGAAGCAAAAGAGTACCTCAATTGGCTCAAGAGGAGACGGCCGCTAAGAAGGTAGAGGAGGAGCTCATTTTTGAAGAGTCTGGACCCCAACCTAAAGAGGTCGAGAAGACAATGGAGGAGCGAATGATACCAATTCAAAGGAAAAGGAGAAGAAAAACTACTGTTTCTCCTTCCGATTTTACTGAAGATTCTGATTCCGAGACAATTGCCCAAGTAATAGAAAAGAGGAGGAAGATCACTGTTTTAGCTACCAGCTCGTTTGAAGATCCCATCCATGAGGTTGTAGAACAAGAATATCCCAAAGCCATAGTTGTTCTTGAAAGAGCTGAAAGAGCTGAGGAGAGGCAGCAGCAACAATTCCTTGGGACAAGTAAGTTTCTGCATGCCTTTATGGGCTGAGGGGAGGCAGCAGCAACAATTCCTAAGAGAGAGGGTCGTTGCCGTTGATGCATTACCAAAGGAAATGGCAATAGAACAACAGACTATTGAACTATACACTGGAACAAGTAATTTTCTTCGTGCCTTTATTCTTTTCTTGTCGAATCTTCAAGACTGAGACTTGACATTACCTCACATTTTCTTCTTTTTGCAGCAACGACCACTGCATTCATCTTTCCAGCGAGACCTTCCCCAATTTCAGTTGAAGTTGACCAGATGCAACGCGTGAAAACCATTCAAATCAGGCTCCCACTTCCTAAGCCTATATTCAATACATCTTTTCCGAGTCCAAGTATCCCTGCATCTCTTTTCCTTGGCTTAGAGCCATACCTCCCTTTCTTGACTCTTGATCTGCCTCAGTTTGCTTCTTCGATCCTCGCTCTTCCTCCTACTGCTACTTCATCTCACATGGCAGTTGATTCTCCTTCAGAGGGTGCTGATAGTTCCCCAACTCTTGGTTCATCATCTTTACCCACTTCCAGCCCCTCTTCACTTGATTCATTGGTGGTTAAGACCATAGAGGCTGCCAGAAATGCTCCACCTATTTCTCCTGTTCCCATGCAGTCCTCTGTGCTTTTCACCACAACACTTTCTGCACCCCTCATGTCTATGGATGAGGTAGACATTTTCGAAGCCAAACTGGCTAGTTTCTCCAACACACCTTCTACCTCTCCATCATTTAATGCCGAAGCTGAGCCATTAGTCTTGGCTGACTCCTTGCTAGAAATTTTTGAGAGTTCTTCCTCTAGCAGCAAGCCTTCTGCACCTTTGATAGATATGGGCACATGCCTAGAACTGCTAATTTCTTTCTCAAGAATTCCCTTCGAGGCTCTGCAAAGGCCAATAATCAGAGATGGGTTCCTTCAATGTTGCAAAATCACCCCTCCTCTTCATTACTTCCGTCCCTTCGAATCCAATATTGGCCCAACTTGGTTGAATAATTTCCTAAGTGACAAGCTCTGCACCTTACCTGTTCATAAGGAGATATGGGCTTCTCTTCTAATTCCTCGAGAGATATTCATCGGGACCACCAATCCTAGAGCTTATAAATGTATAGCTGAGCCCTATTGTCCTGCCCAATTTGCTAGACAATTTGGTCTCACACAAGGGGTCCCAATCCCTCTCTGTAGCAACACCAATCTGAGCCTTACTAAGAGGGATTTGAAGGTTCGAAAATCAAGGTTAGAAGAGGCAACCTTCAAGTTTATGGATGATTTGGCCAGTTTTGAGTTCACCCCTTTCTCCCCTCATGGTACTGAATTGAAGAGATATCAAAATTGGTGGGTGAGCAACATGGAGGTTTATTTGGCTATCTCCTCTCAAAACCTATTGGAGGTGCTGGATGTGCCCAAGCCCAAAGAAGCTGAGACTGTCATTTCTTCCACTATTCCAATTACAGTAACTGCTACAACTCAGTTTACTTCTGCTGCTTCAATTCCTCCCAGAGTCACCCGAAGTATGTACCCCTTTTTCCTTTTCTCTAACCTCTCCACATAATGCTTGCTATCTTATCTCTAATCCTTCTTCTATGAAGGTGGTCAACAACATATAAATAAATAAAAATAAAAAAGAAGTAACGCCAGATGTCCATAAATCATATTTTTCATCTTTTTGTTTTGCTTTCATTTTGTTGGCTTCTGTTCTGATTCATTTTGCCTTATTGGGTTTTGTATCATCTTTATGGTTTATTTTGTAAAATAAAATAGTTTTTTTTTATTATTACATATGCTTGATGAAATATTTTTTTTACATAGATGACTTTTATTATAGGACTTACGAGGTAAAAGGTTTGGGTCATCGATATGGGTCCAAATTGACGCCCACAAAAAAAGTTTGGTGGAATATTGGGAGATGAAGATATGGAGTTGGACAGTTTTAAGAACAAAAAATAAAAAACAAATTTAAGAATTTCTAGTAGGTGGGAGAAAAAAAAAAAAAAAAAAAAAAATTACACTGCATAGCTTTTATTTGTATCTCATTACAGAGACATTTACACCTCATATGTTTGTAATTTTTTTTCCTCTTCTCCTATCTATATGTAATTCCTCCTCAATTATACATGAAATAGGATCTAAAATCTAAATTGGAGGGTATTCCTTGGTTTCGTCCAATACTACGAGCATATGGTTCTTGTCCAGAAGTACTGGTCTGTTCGACCAAAGGTTCTGATAACATGGGAGTTTCCACAGGATGTGTTACCACATTATCCTCTGGATTAGGTATTTCTACCTCTCCTTCTACGCCTTCCTCCAAGCGTTCATTTTCTCCTTGTCGTCTTCGTCTAGCCATATTTTAAATGTCCCACCGGGCGTGCCAAAAATATATGTTGGCTTTTTGGCTTTTTGGCTTTTCAAAGGGTATTTTTGTAAATATGAGCGTGTCAGCAAGGATCAATCAGTCCTTACAGAAATTGTGATTGCCAACCAATTACCAGACGATTGTGTTTTAGTTCTTTCAGCCTTAATGAAGAGGACTTTTACTGGTGACTTGACTTAGGAGAAATTAAGAGAAATAACAATTAATATGAAGAACAATGGAAGTATTTCATAAAAATGAAAAACTTACAATAGTCCAAACTCAGCCTCGAAGAGGTTTACAGCAACAGTCCACTTGAATCTACTTGAGACTACTCCTATGAATTGAAGTGCAGTGCAGATATGTAGAGTGCAGGTATTGAAAGTATAGGAATGTAAAACTGGAAAGTAAAATATGAAATAAAGACTGGTATGTATGATCTGAGTTCCGTCCTTTTTCCTGGGGGTCTCTCTACTATTTATACTTGTCAAAGATGACCTTCGAACTGCTCTTCGAACCGTCGAACTGCTCCTCCATGATCGCTGATCATGTTGCCTTAGAAGTAGCTCCATTATGCCACCATTTGCAGTTAGGCTTCCCTCCTGTATTTGAATTTGAATATGAGTAACCGTTGAAGCCACGTCACCTTGTGTTTCTTTACTGACCCAATGTTGCTCAGACCATGTGAGAACCAATTATCATCACCACGTGTACGATCAGGATTGGAGACTTAAATTATTTTCCAATAATACCCTTACTCTGCCACGTGTCGGATTGTAACTGACTTTTACAAAATATATAGCTAACAACCACACTTATTAATTACATTATAAATACTAAAAACCTCTTAAATTATGTCACATCATCAATTGGTACATATATCGTTATTCTAATGAATAATATTAGTTAGTACATTAATTTGTGCATGTAGCACCACTGTTTTAATTTTTAGAGAAATTATAAAAACATATCTTACAGTGTGATCTTTATAATAAATTAAATCATAAAATTTTAATTTTATCAATTTAAATTATAAATTTTTGATTTATTTTTAATTTAAATTATTTATTTATTTTTCTTAAGCAAAATTACGAATAAATGATATTTTAGTCATTAAATTCAATGAAAAAGAGTATTTTAGACATTTTATGTATATTTATATTGAGTTTAATGACTAAAATATTCTTTTAATGTTGATTTTACATAACAAAAATATACCAATGATTTAGATTAAAAAACAAAATAAAATATTAGAGTTTAAATTGATAAAATTAAAAACTAAAGGTTTATTTTGTTACATAACTCAAACTTTGAGGTTTTTTTTTTTTGTAATTGTGCCTTAAATTTTTTTTATAGATTAAACTACAACTCTCCTAAACTTTTTTAAAATATAAATTTTTATTTAATAGAATTAATAATTAAAAAATTCTTAATTATTCTCCTCTAAAATAATAAAATTATTTGAAATTTTAATTAAAATGTATTTATGAAATCATTAAAAATAGTTAATTAACCCTAAGGATTTGATGAATTGGTAAGGTAAATGGCCTGCATGATCAAGATCTTGGTTCGAAACCTATACTAGTCTCCTTATAACCCCGGACTGAAGTTAGGGGTGAAAGATAAGTTCTTCGACATCCTCTCCCGAGTTGATTTGTAGGGAAGGATTATAAATGAGTTCGGCCTTAAGAGCTTTCAGGTCATAAAATAATTATTATTAATAAAAGATAATATTTATTATGTTATTATAAGGTCAAGTTTGACATACCTCAAATAATTTATCTTTTTATTTTTTTTTTATTACATAATCTCTCTATTTTCTGTATATCTTTTCGTAAAAAGATAAAAAATGTAATTATTTAGGTCATTCCAAACAACCCTTAAATTTAAAAAGATAAAATATAATTTTTAAAATTATGAAAAGTAATTTATATTCTAACTTAGGAAAATTTTAGAGAGTACATTTATAATTTACTAAATTTTATTTGAATTACAGTACTCTTTCCTATTTCAGCATCTTTTTGCAGTACTTATCTTCCTCCTTTTTTGTGTAGTACAAAACAAACCAGTACAAACAAAAACATGAACTACTCAGGCTGTGTGATCACCAACCATTGACCCACCAAACCCATCTTAAATACCCATTCATCCCCCAAGAAAAAATGTTCAAATCCACCAATGTCTCAATACCTCCTCACCCTCTCCTACCTACTCCTCCTCCTCCTCTCCGCTGCCGCCCATGGCGGCGACGGCGACTCCACCACCGACTCCCCTCCAAATCTCCGGTCCAGATCCCTGATCTTGGTGAAGATATGGTGCTTGATGCTCGTTTTCATCGGGACTTTTATTGGTGGAATTTCGCCCTATTTCATGAAATGGAATGAGGGGTTTTTGGTCCTCGGGACTCAATTCGCTGGCGGAGTGTTCTTGGGGACTGCAATGATGCATTTCTTGAGCGATTCGAATTCGACATTTGGGGATTTGACGAGTAAACCCTACCCGTTCGCTTTCATGTTGGCTTGTGCTGGTTATTTGCTCACCATGCTCGCTGATTCTCTGATTTCTTTCGTTTATGGGAGGCAGACAAATGGGTCAAACGGTGATGTCGAGCTTCAAGGTTTGTGCTTCATTCCTGTTCTTTTTTCCAGTCGGAAAGTTGGATTTTTTACAGCTTTCCAGGTGTTTTTGTTGGGTTATAGGGGGAATTTGAATTTTACCCTTCTGTTTGGTTGCTGAGAAAACAGAGGAAAAGCAAAGACGAATAAGTGTTTTAAGTCTTGCGATTCTATTGAATGTTAGAAATTGACTAAAACGAACTGTGGTTGTAGTTGTGTTAGGTCCAGTTGAATGTGCTTCTCAGTTTCTCTTGGGGTGCGAAAGCACGGAGAATTTTAGAATTAATTTTCTTTGTATGTTTTCTCATCAACCAAACAAAACATATGGCTTTTGTTGGAAATGGTTATAAAATTTTGGATAAAACCAGAATTTTTTCCTAAGTTCGGTCTATTTTTTAGGTGGGTCCCGAGTGTCGATTTACTCGGGTTAAAGTGGTAACGCGTTCTATGCCGCGTTGTGATTCACGTGGTATATTTGGTTGCTCAAAACTATTACCGAGTGAATGGAAAATTGAAGCCAAAGTGTACTCCATGGAAATGGAGTTTTGGTGAAAATTCCTTAAGGTTGTAAATTGGCTTGTCCCACATTGATTTGGTGAGAAGTTTTGAAAGGGTTTATAAGGCTTAGGGTGAGATACTTGGGGTGTACCCCAAGGGATACCCAAGTGTTTTAGAGGGAGAGGTTATGGGCAAAATGGGGTAGACCCATTGGACCCAAAAATCACCACGCGCGGCCGCCGTCCGGTCGAACGGGCTGGGCTTCTAATATTTTTGGGCCAAAAACATTTGAATTTAATTTTATTTTTTATTAAAATAAAATCCAAAATTCAAATTAAATTGATTTGGATTTTTTGTTCATCCAAACAGGGCCCTTCCCGTTTTCAAACAGAAATAAACTGTTTTGGAATTAGTGCACACCCAAACAGGGCCCTTCTCGTAATTGCTATCTGTTTGAATTGTTGAATCTGTTTGAAATTCAAAACCCAACAGGTATCATACCTGTTCAATTCAAAACCAAGAGTTTGGATTTTTTGTTCATCCAAACAGGGCCCTTCCCGTTTTCAAACAGAAATAAACTGTTTTGGAATTAGTGCACACCCAAACAGGGCCCTTCCCGTTTTGCTATCTGTTTGAATTCAAATCCAACAGGTATCATACCTGTTCGTAAGGCAAACAGTTAGTAGTGCTGCTATTGTTTGTGGTAGATCATTTCATCCTGGGAGATAGACGTCCGAATTCTGAAAGCACCGTGGAGAGGACGAATCTGTCTTAAGGACACAGTGTCAAACACTGGACTTGGTCAGAAAATAAATCGAACAAATTAAATCAAGTAAGTTATTTAATTTACTTTTCAGTGTTGTTTTTTATTTATTAAAATCAGATTTAAATTTTGTTTTTGTAACAAAATAAAATCTGTTTTTATTTATTTATTCATTTATTATTTAGAGTTTGATTTTTGTAATCAAACAAATTCTCTCATTTTCTTTATTTCTTTAAATTCTAATTGTTGTGTACACAATAAAATTAAATCTTTTAAATACAGTGAAGATTGTCCAACAGCTTTTACAGTTACAAAGCATAATATGCTCTGTTCCTATCCAAATAGGCAATTGATTGTTTTAAGAAGAGGGTAATTTGATTCTTTCTAGTTCATGATTTTCATGTTTTGTTTGTATACTAGTGAACAAACGTTGTGAAGTTCAACATTGACTTGGTTGGATAGCGTTTGGTAACGTTTACGTTTTTGATTTAGGTTTATAAAAATTTTATAAATTGATTTTTATTTATTTATAGAAAAACATAAATTATAAACGGGTTTGGTTTGAATAAAATGTTTTAAAAAATTTAAAAATACAAACTAAAAAATATATTTGTTCAGGTTTCAAATATTTATATTTATTTTTATTATTTCTGACAATGGGATCACACACATTATAATTGAAAAAAAATTAATTAAAAAAATAACTAAAAAAAAAATTAATGGGAAAAAAAATTAATTGAAAAAAAAGATTAATTAAAAAAATATTTGAAAAAATAATTAATTGAAAAAAAAAATTAATTGAAAAAAAAATTATTTGAAAAAAAAATAATTGAAAACTGAAAACGTAAACTCATTTTTTGAGTTTACGTTTTTTCCTCAAATTTATAAACCGAGACAACCATTTATAAATCAAAAAAATTATCAAACAAGTTTTTATGACAACTTTTAAAATTTTTATAAATATAAACTGAAAACAGAATGGTTACCAAACAGACTCTTAGCAATTCGTTTAAAAATTAGCATAAGAAGAGGTTAAGCCAATCCGTAAGGTTTCTTCCTTGAATTGAATAACCCCGGTTTTCTGCCGTCTCAATCGCTCGTGTCCTATTGAAATCCGTAGCAATCTTTGTTCTCGACTTGGTTGTCTTCAAGCTGTCTCTCTTCTAGCTGCCAGCTCAGCTGTCTGATGAGTGAATCATGCTATACGGCCATTTGTCTTTAAGCTTCTGGCCAGTTAAAAATAGCTGGATAGGCCTGGAATCAGCGTCGGTAATTGGCAATTTCTATGCAGCCTTGTCCTGTAGTGTAGATTCCTGGAATCTTCACTTGAACTTTTCAATTTCTTTTATGGGTGTTGGAGAAGCAATTTAATTTAACGCTCCACTTGTTTCGGTGAAAAACACTTTGCTAGAGAGAAGAGGAAACATTTTCTACAGAAAAAATATTTTCCGACAAATGTTTTGTGCGGATAACATTTTATTGTATTTAGTTGCGATCCTAAAGATGATGTGCTACTGGTTTGTGGTAGAAGTGTGTTGGTGTGGTTGTGGTGGTTTTGTCGTGGTGGTAATAGCGATAGTGATGGTGGTTGTGATGGCGGTGGTAGTAGCGGTGAGAATGAGAAAATGTTTTCCAGCTTGGAAAATGCATAATACATTTTCGAAAAAATGTTCGGTCGAAAAAAGGGAGAGCGTAAAGAAATACTTAACTAGTGGATGGGCTTTAATTCTTGATGAATATTGGTATGTACCTTGTTAGTATATTATTATACTTTAGCATTGTTTATTATTCTTTAAGCATTGTATACGTTAGTTGTTATTATTATGTTTGTTAGCTTTATGCTTTCGGCTAGTTTTAGCCTTTCGGTGCCTCGCGTCTCGCATGCCTCGCATCCAATGACAGGCTATAAATGAGAGCTAAGCTCCCTTTGTAATTGTACAACATATATCAATATATACATACAATTTATTCTCTCTCTATCTATTTATCTTACATACCTTATGGCTGTTTTGATGTTCAGAGTTGGTTAACAGTGTCATTGAATTGCTAAAATAGAAAGTCAAAACCATTCAGATGAATGATTTTAACAGTGTCATTGAATTGCTAAAATAGAAAGTCAAAACCATTCAGATGAATGATTTAGCTCAAAAAAGGATACAAGATTGTTCTATATTCTGAGTTAGTTATGTGTTTGATCCATGTTCTGTCTTTGGTACAGGTAACGGGAAAAGCAATGGCAATCGAATAACTTCACAATCACAATATCAGGTAAGGCATAGCAGAGAAGCCATGAGATAGTTCTTGCTTCACCAACTAATCCAAATTAGTTTCTGATTAAGTTTTACCGGTAATATTTGATAAGAACTCGTTATTTCATGGTTAATAGGTACATGACGGTACAGAGAATCACTTTGTGAAAGCCCCGCTCCCGACTGCCACATCAGTCGGGGACAGCATTTTGTTGATAGTTGCATTGTGTTTCCATTCGGTTTTTGAGGGCATTGCAATTGGAGTTGCAGAAACACAAGCCGACGCTTGGAGAGCTCTCTGGACGGTCAGTCTTCACAAGATATTCGCAGCCGTTGCAATGGGAATTGCTCTTCTCAGGATGATTCCAGACCGTCCCCTCTTGTCTTGTGCAGCCTATGCTTTTGCGTTCGCCATTTCAAGTCCAATCGGTGTGGCCATTGGAATCATAATAGACGCCACAACTCAGGGCACTGTGGCAGACTGGATTTATGCCATTTCAATGGGGCTGGCTTGTGGGGTTTTCATCTATGTGTCAATAAATCATTTGTTGTCAAAGGGTTATGTGGCTCTGAAGTCAGTGAAGGTTGACACACCACATTACAAGTTCTTGGCCGCCATGTTGGGCATCGGGGTGATTGCTGTTGTAATGATTTGGGACTGATTTGGGACACTTGATCAAAGCAGAGTGAAAACAGAAAATAAAAAAACGAAAACAGAACAGAAACAGAGTGAAATATAGCAGTGAATGTTGAGCAGAGCAGTATATAGAACACATGAGGAGATCAATATTACTATGGATGATCATTGTATGTAAATCTTTCCTTCAATGATTGCTCAATTTTTGTCATGAAATACTTGTAGAACACATTTGTAATTTTATTGCCTTGCTCTTGATTCCTCCATTCTCGTATTAGTTTCCTAAAAAAATTGATTGAAGGTTATTATGGCTCTCTGAAGAACATGACGTTCTGCTTTGTGAATAATTATGAAGAAAAATGCTTGCCAACTCTGATTTGACCTCCAATACACCCTTACCGACGTGGACAGACCCACTTGAATGTCACCCTCGACGACAATGAATACTTTCTCAATGATGTGATGTTTTGTCTTCTTTCTTTTTTTTTTTTAACACATGATGTTTTGTCATTTTGTAGTTTCATTTTCAGAGAATTTATCGCACAGTGCTGCTTCTAAAAAGTTATTACAATGTCATTTAATAATTAATATTTATAATTTTTTTTTACTTGTCTGTAATTATGTTTTTACATTTAACTGGAACTAAAATTTTCCCTTCATTTTGTAATTTGATGTAATGTTTTTGGCCCTGATGTATGTTATGGTATTATTATATATTTTGTAGTTAGAAAATTCTTAGATTAAAAAATGTGTACAATTACTTTAAAAATGGGTAATTTTATCATAAAATGCGTAATTTATTTTTAAATCATAAATTGTTGTAATTTTTACTAAAAAAATATATAATATTTATCTCAAAAATACATAGCATTTATTATAAAAAATATGTAACAATATTATATCGTACACACTTTTTAAAGGGTGTGTTTGTTTGGACGAATTAGATCAGGAGGGATTGTAATTCACTGGAATGTTAGTCTTGGAATACATTGTCCTCGGACTATTTGATTGGATTGAATTTGTATCTTATATTTGTTTAGTCATGGGATTAAATGAACTATTCTATCGAATTTTATATTTGTTTAGTCGTGGGATTAAATATTTAGATTTGACTATTTTATTGAATCCGATGCGTATCCTATTTTATTTAATTTTTTAATAAAACTTTTAAAAAAATTAAATAAATAGAACATCAATAAAAATTATATAAATTTATTTTAATTTTTAGTTGAGATTTTAAATTTTATTTTAATTTGAACTCTTATATAAATTGAACTTTTAATTTTATTTTTAATTAAATATATTGAATAAATTGAACTTTTAAAGGAGGCTTATAATCCATTAGACTGTTAATTTAATTTAATTTTTAGTTGAGATTTTTAAATTTTGTTTTACTTTACTAAGTACAATTAAAAATAACATAATTGTATAAATAAAAAATGAGGGCAAAAAATGTCATTTTAACCTTTCAATCTGGATGAGGATTTATCCTATCCTTTTTATCCCACACCTCTCCATGGGACAAAATAATTCACAAATAAGGGATTGATAGTCTGGTTAGACTATTAGTACAACTTATATTTTTTAAACTAAACATCGAATTATTACATGCAATGGACATGAAATCTTATCCCACACTCGAATCCTCCCAAACAACCACCCCCTAACATTACTCTATTTTGATTAATAGATTAGATCTAGGGACACATCCTTCGTCACATATAGTGAGAAAATTTATTAAAATTGATTCAATATTATATGTATGCTATTTTTTTCCAATTTAAATATCATAAATATCTATCAATAAATACATATAGTATTATTTTTTATTTATGAGATAAAATACGATGATATTATTGATCATTGTGAGGGCTAAAATTATACTATAAGATATGAGATTATTAATAAGATTATGAGGGATAAAACTATACTATGAGATTAGATACGATGAGATTATTAATAAGATTGCGAGGATGAAGTTATACAATGAGATTAGATGGAATAAAAATTTATGAGATAAAATATGATGAGATTATTGATAGGATTGAAAGGGATAAAGTCATATATGAGATTAGATGGAACAAAAATTGGATTGGATATATGATAAGATCATATATAGAGGATTGTGAAAGATATGATTATACATAGGATAAATAATTAGATAGAATGAGTGAGATATATTTGGTTAGGATGAAATAAAGAGATATAATTATTTTTGAGTGTTGGATGAAAAAATTAATATTATGTATACTGCCTATGATATTATTTACTCCTCTCATTTTTATCTATTTATTTTTTCATACCAGTACTAAAATTATCCAAAGATATGGCTTGAATAAAAAAGAAGAGAACAATCTCAAGCATTGTATTATCCTACAAATACAAAGGCAATCACATTTAAACCAGAACAAGTGAAGCATTCTTTAGATGAGATGTTAAACCAAGTTTAAATTTAAATTATAAATGATAACAAAATTAGATCACTTTAACATTGCTTATACGCAAAATTATCCAAGGACGAAAATGAAAATTTTAAAGACAACCCAATCAGATATGGTTAAAATTGAAAATGGTATACAAGATGTAATAAAATATGTTTAAAATAAAACATATATAATTATATGAAACTATGTATTGAAATTGTAAATTTTTTTAGTATTGTTTGAAGATTAACCGATGAGCAATTGATACCGTAACCAAAATATAAATTATATATATTTATCAAATCAACAACATAATTGTATAAACTAATTATATTTAAACAATGAATTCTATTTAGAATATTTTATTTGTATATATTATTTTGTTATATAAACAAAACAAGTGTAAAGATTAAAATTAATTATATTGGGCATAAGTGACGTGCGTGAAATTTCAAGAGTGAAAATACACTGATATGGGAGTGTTTGGGAAAGGTTTTTTTTTTTTTTGACTAAAATTTATAAAAATGACAAAATAGAGTAAAATAATTAATAACATAAAATATCACGTCAAATCCATAATCATTTCACTTTTTTCTCTCACAAATATCATATCCAACTATAAAAAAATTCAAATAACTTCTCAAACACAAAAAATTTAGCTTACTAAAATAGCCAAAAACTAAAATAACTTACTAAAATAATAACTTTCCAAACACCAAAGAGCATAAATTTTATGAACATAAAATTTTGCACCCTAATTAATCATAGGCCCCGTTTGTTTTCAAAGATAAAATGAAGAAAATTCATAGTGAAGGGATTGTTAGTGAGGAAACTAAATAAAATTATATTTGTTTTGATAATAGTTATTGGTGTAGGAATTGTTAAATTATTTTTATATAAAATAATAAAACAAATAAAAAAATATAAAAAATAAAATATTAATGTTTAAAAAAAAATTCCCAATGTGTAAAAAATAAAAGAATTTCTAATCCTCTCACTATTTTTCTAATACCACCTCCACCTCTTCCATACCAATTCTCCTTTCAACCTCCATCTTAATCTCTTTCCTAACTCAACAAACAAATATAATACTAAATAACCCCGTCAAGTAGAGAATCAAGGAGGGGATCCTTACTCCTATCCTAATCCCCTCTCATCCATTTCACCACAAAACAAACAGGCCATATAGCACATCCAGCACAATAATGCATTTACTAAAATAATGCGAACCAACGGCTGAAGCACGGCAAAGCTAAAGAAATCAGACAAAAATGCACTTGAAAAATTTTGAGAAATTGACATTTAACGAAATCGTGCAAGACATCTCACTGAAAAAATACAAAGCAACGAAGGAAAAAAAAAAAACTAATTTCTAGAAGCTGCACATACTCAACTCGTAAAAGTAAATCAAATAATAATAATAATAATAATAAAGGGAATAAAAATGAAAATGATATCAACAGATGGGTTACCCATAAAAATAAAAATTGACATCATATCATTTATTTTCTGGGCAGTAACAGCATTCTACTGCCATTCATCAACTAACCAATTTCCAGAAAGAAAATGTTACTCTAACTAACAAATCTTATAAACATTTCTTAAAGCAATTAGAAAACGTGTTACATTAAAATGAAGAAGAAAAAGCACAGGATTGTAGTTCTTCAAACCTGTTCATGAGCAAAAGACATTATTTACCCAACTGATCATGTGCAATTCAAAATTAGTTCAGATTAATCGGCATATCTACTTGCAGCTTAATGAAGCCAAAATTTTGAGGAATGGTAGGTGGTGGCTTCTTATAAATGCAGCTGCAAAATATTCAGAATCAGTAGAGTCGACCTTATTTCAAGTAGATGCCGAGGAAAAAATGTTGCAACCAATGCTCTAAAAATTTGCATGAAAAACTTTCTCAAAACAAAATGACACAATAAGAGGCCCTGCTGTATCCCCAATAACACAGCCTGCAAAATTTACAAAATTAGAAATCAGTAAATTGTTTTAGACAATTCAACAAAAGTTTAAACTTTGTTGTTTTCCAGGCATTTTAATGCTCCTAGTTTGTTTTGGCAAAAACATTTTCTAGAAAATGTTTTCATATGCTTAGTTGCGACTTTGAAACTTATGTGCTAGCTCTGGTGTTAGTGATATGGGGTGGTAGAAGTGGTGGTGGTGGTGGCAACGGTGGGGGTATTGATGTGGGTGGTGATAGTGTGGTGTCATTGATAAGACTTAATCCGCAAAATGTTTTCCACCTTTTAAAACTACAAAACAAATTTCCACTCAAATAAGTTTGTTTTCCGTTGTACGGAATGTCAAAATATGTTTTCAGTGAACTTGAGCTTCTTGTAAGGGTCCAGTGATGTGCTTACCAATCCATTGACCAATCAAAGGTCGAAAGAGGGATGCACCAATCCCTCCTCCAATAGACGCAAAAACCAGTGATGCACCACACCTGACAGTAGTACCATAAACTTTCTTCCCAAGAAGTTGAACCTGTTCTGCTCTATCAATTTGATCATCATCTTCTCGAGACATGTAAGAAAAGAACCGGTAAATATCAATGCCAACTTGGACAAGCCATGATGCTGCAACTCCAAGAAGATGCCCTGCTTATACATGATGACGGGTTATTGAACGATGAAGTTGAAACTCAACAGCTTAACTGAATGAAGAAAAATGGAAATATATGTTTTGACCTCTGAAAGTTGTTTTGCTAACACTGACGAAGTAGACAAAAGTTGGCATCCCCCTTTCAGCCTTGCGCACCGCTGATTTGGGTATATCTGTAAAAAATTTATCATAAAAATTGGTAAGAAGCACACATGTAAAATTTGACAAATCATTTAAAGTAGCCACTTTTATAACTTACGCTCAATTTGTTTTAGCAGAAAACATTTTCTACTAGAAAACATTTTCTTATGTTTGGTTGCCTTCTTATGTAGTGGTGACAACGGGGTAAAGGAGGAGGAGGTGGTAGTGGTGGTGATAGTGGTGATAAGGTGGAGGTGATAGTGGTGGTGGTTGTGGTGGTGGAGGTGATGGCGGCAACAACGGTGGTGCTGATGGCAATGTGGTGACATTGGTAAAAGTTTAGTTCATAAAATGTTTTTTGCCTTTGAAAAGTAGAAAACATTTTTCATCCAAATAGGCTTGTTTTTCATTGACCATAGAAAACATTTTCCGTTGACTTTTATTTTCTGTTGTACCAAACACCATAAAATACGGAAACGTTTCTGCCGAAACAAATGGAGCATTAATGGAAAAAGCAAGTACCTTTAAGAAGTTTCCATGCCATCCTCTGTGAAACATAATGAACGGCAAATCTTTCCAGAACCCGTCTAGTAGTTGCAACAGTGGTCTAAGAGATGATACAAAATATAAATCAACGATTCTGCTGCTAAATTAGTAAATTCTTAAAAGATAAAGTTAAAATAACAAATAACAAAGCCACAAAGAACTTCCAAGCATGATTTTCCATAAAGCAATATAAAGAAGACAGTAGGGGAGTCTAATGTCTAACAGATATCCAAGTGTTATAATAAACGGGTTTGTTTTTAACAAGGCAACAGAATGAATTTCAAAAAATTGGATAAAATCCCACATACTCTGAGTCGATTGATGCAGTGATTGCCATCAAATAAGATCTTGTATGATCCTCACCCCAGAATTTACTTAACATAGAATTGCTCATTCGAGGGCTGAATGCAAAACTGATTTGGAGGCAGTAGTAAAGTGATGGATGGATAAAATGTTCATGGACTTTTATGTAATTTTTCAGTGCTATATGAAAACACCTAATCTGAGGACTCTTGAACCAAAGAATGATAAACAGCGGATAAGATCAAATACACTCTCTTCTCCTGTGTGCACTGCTTCATTACACGTCAATCTTCAATGATCACAAGGATAAGGACCATTTATCTTTCCTGATACCAACTCTACTTTCTCTCGATAGATGCCCCCTTTTGAAGGTAAAACTTGACTCTGAGACGTCTGGAACAAAAATGGGAGAAATCGATTGAACTCACCTCACGAATAACTTGCTTCACTGATTTCTTGAAAGGAACAACCAAATCTACTTGGTGCTCTCCTGGATCATCCTGTAGGAAATCGTCGTCATCCTCTTCTATGTTTGAGCGAGACTTCGAAAGAGACAAATAAGATGATAAGAAAGACCTCAATGATGCCAGTGCCAGAAACCTTAATCCAAAAGCTGAGAACAGAGGTTTTAGCTCAATTTTGTACTCTTTGGTACTGTAGTGTAGAGAATCATGCAGAAAAATATTTGCAGATGCGTTTCTTATGCTGGTAATGTAATCTTCATCATTTAAAGCAGCACCAGCATCGCAATACACAATTGATCTTCCAGTATTGCTGTATCATGAATGCTGCAAGTCAATATACGAACTAGAAACAAATGTACATGTAATATATGTGTATCATACTAAAAGAGAGACCAAAACTACTACACATATATCAAAACTAAATGTAACAAAAACCTTGATGCCTGATTAAAATAACAGGATATGTACATGCAAGGAATAGTAATTATTCATTTGCAGAGCAGAGTAACAGGTTTCCGTACCATAGATAGTGACAAAAATGCATAACGTGAAAATATAGACCAAATTACTCGCTCATAAACCAATGCTCTATTTCAAAAACTATCCATAATTTCAGACTATTACCAAGAATGCCATTTCAATTCTTACATCAAACAAATCAAGAATGAGCCACAAAAATTTAATTAGCATAAAGTTAAAAGCATAGTATTAAAACAGAAAATTCATAAAGTGAACAAATTATATCCTCAACCAGAACTTTATTGATTGCATACTATAACAAATGAGATTTTGTTCTAGGATAAAGATATCTATGACAATTCTCTTAGATTTTGGCTGATCGGGAATTTTTGCGATACGGTACTGATTGCATACTATAACAAATGAGATTTTGTGCTAGGATAAAGATATCTATGACAATTCTCTTAGATTTTGGCTGATCGGGAATTTTTGCGATACGGTTTTTAATTTTGTTGACTTCATAGGAAAGCTTATTTTTGTTCTAGTGAGTGCTCATTCTATACATCATGTTGTCACTGTTGCATTGTGACATGCTTTCTATAATACAAACTAATCATCAACATAAATAAACTAATAACTCCTTTATAAGTAACATCACTGTTTGATCAATCAAAACAACTTGCAGAAAAATGATAACGTAGCACATTTCCAATAGTATTGGATTTACTTAACAAAAAATACATCTTACGGAGTAGGCACCTAATACAATGGTTTATGCAAAAACCAATTGATTCAGTTGCCTCGCATATGTGATATATTAATGTTGGACTGTATCTATCTTTAAAAAAAATTAAAGAAAAATGTTGGACTGTAATTTCACATTACTATGTTTGGTAACCTAGGAGAGTATCAGAGAAAAGAAAAGAAAGGTTGTGATTTATCTCCCTCTTGTTTGGATAAATAAGAGAAAACAGAAAAGATATTGATTTCTTTCTTATCTTGTCATATATAAATAATAATAACAATAATATTATTATTATCATATTACCAAAAGGGGGTTGGTCTCCTTATTTCTCCTATATCTAAAAAGCTAATTTTGGTATTATGACAAAATAATATTCAGTTGGTTTCATTTCTCTCCCAATCTCTCCACTTTTTCTCCCACATTTCTTCCCATTTCACTCCATTTCAGCAAATCCAAACAGGCTGTGAATCAATGCGAAAATGCTTGATAATAACAAAACACAAATCTTTGCACCGATTAGGGCTTGTATTGATGATGCATTTGCGTATATATATACACACATACAAATAGAGAGAGGGGGAGTACCGGAAGAAAACCCTAGAGGCAAAAGGGGTTGCGGCGGCAACAGAAGCGGCGGCAGTGGAAGCAGCGAGAGAGGCTGAGAAGAAACCATAGGAATGTAGGGTTTGGCCACTCAAGCTTGGGTTTTTCCTCAGTAGTTCCAATGCTATACCTATTCCAGCCATTCTTCCAACTTTCAAGCTCCACTATTCAACACAAATCAAAGGTACATTGTGGAGTTCTTCTTCAGCATTTCGAACTTGTTCTCATGGCTTCCAAAATCGATCATGTATATATATCTGAGCGTAGAGAGAGAGAGAGAGAGAGAGATGATGATGATGACAGGACGATGATGGACTAATCGTTTTCTTTCAAATTGCTGAGGAATGACTTGTAGGGCTGCATGTTTAGCCCCATGGGCCTTCACTAATTTGAGCCTGTGTCAAGGCTTACTTGGATTGGGCTGCATAAGCCCAACTATGTACTCATTATTATGGAAAATGATCCATCCCCATAAAAATCTTCCACAAAAACACCCTTTCATACCGATAAGATTTTAACACTACTACAAAATAAATATGTGAATAGACTCTTATTGATTAGAATTTATGAAAAAATGTTTTTGTAAGAGAATTTTTATAGGGATGTAATATGATTGTATTATTTCTCTTTTTTTTAACCAGTGCTTTTATTTTTTTAATCAAACAGAAATAATTGTAAATTTTTTAAATTTGAAAAAATAAAAAATAAATTTATTTTAAATTTTCAAAGAGATAAATAAATAAAGAAAAATTAAAAATTAAAAACATTACCAAGTTTCATGTAAGGATGAATTCATGGTATCCCTACTTTGTTTTGTTGGATATAAAATGGAGGATATAATATGATGTGGGATTTAGTCAGGATATATAATGAATAGGATATAAAAAATATAAATCTCCTCCTCAAGAAATTACATTTCACTCATTGAGATTTTTAATTACACAACAAATGGTCTACATTGGATTAACACTATTGTTGTTATCATTATAAATTTGGTTTCTCTCAAATTATTTAAGATAGATTTTGGTGAATCTTTCACTTTTTAGAATTCGATGATTAGAATATTCAAGCAAAAAATAAACATAATTGGACATCGATAGTTATGCTCGATATTTTATTTGTTTTAAAAACTAGATGACAAATATAATTTCAATAATAGCTATTCATTTTTTACGATACAAATTTTATTCAAACATATAATTATCAATATTTGATAATCTTAATTTTTTATATAAATATTCGATTAAATGAATTCTAAAAAGTGAACAATTTAAATTACCGAAATCAATTATAAAATGAGCCTAACAAGTCTGAAAATTTTCTGAAGTTGAGATGACCAACTTAAAAAAAGTCAAACCATATTATTATCTACAAATATTTAGGTTTCGATTGGAATGTGGGTTGACTTTTTGATTGTTTTTAGCTTGAGACTAAAAAGTCTCGTTTGAGATTATTTTTTTTTATTTTTATTTTTTGTCTTTTGTGAGGCTTCATTTGGCATCATAGATTGGGACTAAAATAGTTACAAAATGACAAAATAAGTTAAAAAATCAATAAGATAAAATATCACATCTAAGCCATAATCATTCCAATTTTTCTCTTGCAAAAGTTTAAAAAAAAAGGCAAAAAACCCATCTCAAATGAGATTTTTTAGCCCAAGCTAAGGTCTCGTTTGGGAACATACTATTTTAGTAACTTTTTGTTTTTTTTACGAAAATATGTACAGAAAAGTAGAGACAATGATGTGACAACTTATAGTTATTTTTTTGTTAAAATATATAGTTGATAAACGAGGCCTAAAATAGTCAAAAAGCCAACTCACTTTCCAAACGAAGGATGAGAGAAAAAATGAAATAATTATAAATTAAATGTGATATTTTATCTTATTAATTTTTTAGCATGTTTTATCCTTTATTTTAACCCCATAACCTTATGCCAAACAAAGGCTTAGGCCACGTTTGTTTGGCGAATTAGGTTTGATGGCATTGTTAGTGAGAGGATAGTTAGCGAAAAGATTATTAATGTGAAGCCCCTGAAAACGTATTCATTTAAAAAATAATAATAATGTTTAAATTATTGCTTAAAGCCCTCAGTTACTAGAATTATTTCGAATCTTGTCGATTAGCATTTTTTTTTATCGAAACAGGAATATTCTAACTTGACCATTCAATTTTCCAAATAATGGTCTATTCAATTCTAACTAGTGTCCATTCATTTTCCAACTAGTGGTCCATTAAATTTTCCAAATAATGGTCCATTCAATTCCAACTAGTGGGCTTTAATGACAAGTAAATCCTAACTTGTCCTTTCAATTCCAACCAGTGGGCTTTGATACCATGTTACACCAAATTTGCCTATAAATATCACCACTCCCTAGGATGGCAAACACTAGCAACACTCTCACACACACACATTTGACTAAAGGAGAGGAAGGAGAACAAGAGAAAAATCTTTAGAGGAAGAGGAAGGGAGAAGAGAGCCATCTTGTTCAACGCTTAGCAAGTAAGCCACATCACAACCTTCTCTTTCATTTTTCCTTTTTCAAATACATGTTCTTAAGGGTTCTAAATAATATTTTCAGATGTGTTATTGATGAGTTACTTGTGTTAAGAATGATAAAGGTTGAACCATGACTTTCTCTCTCTTGTGGTTTTCCTCATTTCGGTACAAACCTATCCTACTCATACCAATCTCCCAAACTTTCCAAAGGCACACATCCAAGCAAATTTTCTGGGTTAATATATGTTAGTTAGCATGGTTTCATCACAAAAGAAAAAAAAATTTCCTTAATGGATCCCTTTTCTCACAAATCTTCTTATTTCGAGTATAGTGCCTTAGAATCTGTTGCGCAGCCAACTTTCAAAAATTCTAGAGAAATGTATAAAATTATTCTAGACCTCTATCTTATGTCAAAATCTTCCTTAAGGAGTTAGTTTTCCACTAAAATTGGTTTCATGGAAAAACAGCGAGCGGGTTGCAAGAAAATCAAATTTTCGTAACAGCCGACGAACTAGACAGCGCTGGAGTGTTTTCTAAATAACTTAAAATCTATAAAAGCTATTCCATTTCCGAAATATGTTCTGGAAACTAGATTAAATTCTTTACGAACCATAGGAAGGCCGAGTCCGTTAAAGAAATTCTAAAATAGCCTTTTCATTCTAATCTTTATATGATATTGAATCTGAAAATTTTGTTGAGCATGGATGTTTTAAGCGATTGTGTTCATGAAAATGTTTATTAGCTTATGATCATATCTCGACATGATATTATATGTGTTATGGTTATGCTCTTTATCTCATTCATCTTAATGATGCATGCTTATGTGGATATTTTGATCTTGTTAAGTTAGTCTAACCTTGATTTTAAACATGTAACTCAACGGAAAACTTTACTGGGGTGGTATTGGGTTTTCAGTCCTTTGAAACAATGGAAGATGAGAAAATGTGATGTATGGATTCTTGGGATGCGTTCTCTATTTGGAAGTCAAAGTCTTGCGCAAGCGGTTTTCGGAACCCTTGAACGGAACGGTTGTATTTGGACCCTAAGTGGTTTGATGTGAGTGAGGATTTGGGCAAGACCCTATCTTACCGTCTCTTTTGAGGCCCTGCGGTTGACGCTACGCGGTATATAACCGTTGGTAGGCATCCGAGGTTAGTTCTGCAACAAAGCAGCAAAAGAAAGGGGCATACCGAATAATCCGCGTCCGATTCTTGTGGTTGGGAGGACGAAATCTCTTTGGGGTATTTCTAGTTTACTAACATCTAACTTGTAACTATTTATTTATTTAGTTGTGTATCATGCTTTACTACTTGATGTTATATTTGTGACTGTGTATTGGACTCGAGAAAAAATGATGGGATATGTATGTGTTTACTGGGCATTCAAAGCTCACGGCGTGTTATGCCAGGTGCCGAAGAGGAACATATAGCTAGAGACGACAAGTCTGAAACCTTCGAAGACCTGTGGCTATCTTAGTAAAGTTAAAAATTTATCTTTTAATATTTTTGTAAGACTCGTACGAAGATTTAAATTTTCTTTTTGGGATGTAATGTAATGGAACAAGCTTTTGCAATTAAGGATATTTGTAATTGTTATGTATTTATATTCAATATAATCAGAGGTATACATCTTATCGTTGCTTATGAGACCTTGTGTCAATGCTTGTTAGGATTTGTCAAAAGGGTAATGCACTGCCTAAGAAAGCCAAACTTAGAAGGGAGACTAATTTGACTCCTTCGGTGATCTGGGATTTTACCTGGTTATTGACCATAGGACTCAACAGTGACTCTCCATTGCCTACAACCAATAGTGTAGAATCGAGGCATCAGAGTTAATGTGGAGATTGCTAGTGAGCGGATTAAAGGCTTCGTTTGGGAAGTGGATTGGCTTTTTTGATTATTTTAGCCTAGGTCTAAAAAGCCTAGTTTGAGAAAGACTTTTGATTTTTTTGACTTTTTTGACTTTTTTATGAGAGAAAAAATATAATAATTATGAGTTGGATGTGATGTTTTGTCTTATTGGGCTAAAAAATTTATTTTGTTTTTTGTGATTATTTTAGCCAAAAAAGCCTCAAAAACCACTTCCCAAACAAAGGCCAAGTAAAAGAGTTTGTTTTGATAATTGTATGAGAGATAGTTAATGATGAGATTGTTAAATTATTTTTATATAAAATAAATAAATAAATTATTTTATATTAAAAAATTAAAACAAATAGGTACACTTGGTATAAAAAAAAAAATTATTTATTTTTATATAAAATAGCTCAATCCCCTCACTATGTTCTTAATCCCACTCAAAACTCAGCTAAGCTAATCCCCCTATTAAGGGGGATTATTAAGCCCATTGGATTATCAATTCACCCCCAATTTCACTACCAAACATGTTGTGAATAGGACTCATAGTCATGATAGTCCAATTTGACCACTCAAATTACGAAACAAACATGGCCCTAATGTTATCGACGGGGACTGTAAAATATTATGGTGATCCAGGGATAATGGTTTGGCAGTGGATAAATGCAAATAGAGATATTATAATAAGGGTAAATTACATTGACACCCTCTGAGATTTATCTTCATTATAATTTCTCTCTCATTTTTTAGAAATTACATCTCCTTATCTGAGGTTTAAAGTTTCATTATAGATTGCTCCCTCCAGCAATTTAATTTTTTTAAATACTAATTTTATCCTTACTGGGTAAATTACATTGACACCTCTCACATTTTAAAAATTACAATCCCTTCCTCAAGGTTTAAAGTAGCATTATCAATTGCCACATTGGTTAGTATTAGTTGAAAAAAAAATAATCGAGAAAAAAATTATTTAAAAAAAAAATAATTGAAAAAAAATTGTGTTAGTCAAATTTTTAAATTTATGTTTAAAAACCAACGTAAACTCATTTTTTGAATTTACGTTTTTTTTTCTCAAATTTACAAACTGAGACAACTATTTATAAACAAAAAAATTATCAAACAAGTTTTTATGACAATTTTTAAATTTTTTGAAAATATAAATTGAAAACTGAAAACGAAATGGTTACCAAACAGGACTCAGATAGTAAAAATATCGTAAAATTAATAAATAATTAAATAAGTTATCAACGTAAGAAATGACTTATTAAAAGATTCTTAGGCTATTATGATTTGATTTTAGAAATAAAAAATAAAAAATAATTATCATTTTTATATAATTTTTATATTTAATAAACATAAACCTTAAAAGGGTGTCAGTGTAATTTTTATCTTACGTTGGTTTTTAAATAGAAATTTAAAAATTTGACTAACAAATTTTTTTTTCCTAATTAATTTTTTTTTTCAATGAATTTTTTTTTCAATTAATACTAACCGATGGGACAATTGATAATGCTACTTTAAACCTTGTGAAGAGGATTGTAATTTTTAAAATGTGAGGGGTGTCAATGTAATTTACCCAGTGAGGGCAAAATTGGTATTTAAAAAAATGAAATTGCTGCCGGGGACAATCTGTAATGAAACTTTAAACCTCAGAATGGGGATGTAATTTTTAAAAGGTGAGGGAAAAACTGTAATAAACATAAACTTCAAGGGGTGTCAATGTAATTTACCCTTATAATAGTTTTAAAGGTAAATTATACTAACACTCCTGGGATTTCTATTTAAAATAAATTTATCTCATGTTTGAAAAATTACATACTATTTTATCAGATTAAAATTACATATTTGTCATTTCACCTTCATACATAAAATAATAAAATAATACTGATATTTTGTTCATGCCATTTTAAAAGAAATTACAATCATTTTTCTTTAGTTTAACTTACACAAAAATAATTATTTTTTATTTCTACTGATTTTTTTTAATATTTAAGTATTTTTATTTTTATTTTTTAGATATACCTATTCTAGATATATTTAAGAAGTATAATATTTAGTGATTTTTTTTAAAATTTACCAAATATAAAAAATACAAAAATTTAATAATACTGTAATAAATGTGGGTGAATAGACGAGAAAGAAAAATGACAGTGGAAAAAAAAAACTATAATCATATATAAGAATTTATTCAAAAAAATATCATAAAAATGTTGTGACAGTGATATTGTTGTAAATATAAATTATGTTTATGTGTGTTTTGTTTTAAAGTAAAGGTTTACCATTAAGCTATATCATTGTGTTTGAAATTTTTATATATGTTTGTATATTATCATTCAATAAGAATATGTTTAAGTAGAATTTAATGATAGAAAATTGTAGAATATAATCATGATGATAGGAAGAAGAAATAATAGGAAAAATGACAAAAATGGTCATTTAAAAAAATTTAGGGTATGACATCAGCAATCCAGGAGTAATTTGTAATGAGAATACAAATCTTAGGGAGGAGAATGTAATCTTTTAAAATGTAAGGAAAGAATCTGTATTAAATAAAAAATTTAGGAGGTGTCAATGTAATTTACTCTAATTTTAATTTGATATTATAGAGTATTTGGATTTTTTTTTTCTTTTTAGTTTAGTTGTAAAATTTTTTTTGACAAGTGATATTTGTAGTTTTCAAAATGTGAGTGAAAAATTTATTTTTAACAAATTTCATGAAGTGTATGAGTAATTTATCATAAAATATATAAATATTTTATTTATTATTATTATTTTATTTTTGAAAACATAAAAATTGAAAATGGGAAAAATAAAACAAAATAAAAAACACAAAGGATATTGAAAACTCAATATTCGAGAATTTCCCCTGTGCGATTCGGTTTACCACATTTTCTCTACCGTCACCAGCTCTCTCTCTCTCCCTCCCTCTCTCTCTCCAGCAGCAGCTTATGGGATGTGAAGTTCCAATACCCTGCAAACTCTCAAGCACACACTGTTTATGGCTTCGTTGAGGTACCCATCTTCTCATTCTCTCTCCTCTCAATCTCCCACAGCTCAAACCACAATCAAATCCTTCTCTTCTTGCCTCTTTCCAATCTGATCAGGTCTTTCTTTGAACTCCTCACCCTCAAATCTCTGTTCTGAGGCCCATCTTTGCTGTTGTAGAAGTAGATGTCCCTTTCAATTTCTTGATGATTGGAAAAAAAAAAAAAAAACCCCCCTCAAAAATCTCATCTTTATGTTTCTTTGATTTGGATTTTATAGTCAAAGCCCATTTCTTTTGACTGGGGTTTCTGATCTTCTTTCAGATCTCCTAAACCATAGTTTTTCTTGGGTTTTACTCAGTTTCTTGAACTACAAAGTTCTTGTTTGCTACTCTTTTTATTTGAGAAGGGAATTTTGGAGGTTTCTAGGGTTAATCAAATCACAACATTGAACTATTGAAAGATTGTGTTTTTTTGTAAGAAGTTTCCCAAGATTGCAGCTTAATTGAACTCAGTTTCCTTTAAATACCCTATTCTTTTAGTTTGAGCTGGGATTTTTGGAGGTTTCTAAGGTTAAATCAAATTACAATATTGAACCATTGAAAGATTGTGGCTTTTTGATAGAAATTTTGCAAGATTGCAGCTATTTAGGCAATTAATTGTGTTAATTGGGTCAAAAACCTAGTGGCAGCAGCCTGTACACTGGACTGTCTTTTTTTTTTCAGCTCTGAAATTAGGGTTTCGTTAGGGTTCTGATGTTTGGTTAAGCCCACTTGGGGATTATTATCTAAATATGGCTGCAAGTGGTCACTGTTTTGTGGAGTGGAAAGAGCAATTTGTTTCCAAGGAGCGGGGCAACCGTGTGGTTCACTATTTTTTGAAGGACATTTCGGGGGAGTCCATTCTTGCTGTTGTGGGCACTGAAAGGAGTGTTAGACACATGTTCTATGTTGTTTCTGAGGAGTTCCTGAATGTTCACGGGGCGGAGAATTCAGTCCATGCTGGTTTCAGATGGAGATCCAGGAGAGAGGTTGTGAATTGGCTCACTTCTATGCTCTCAAAACAGCATCGGCAACGGGATCAATGCAGTATGTTTTGCATCATTCCTCTTTTTATTTATTGTTTTATATTGTTTCTTCTTTATCTTGTCCTTGTAAAGATATGCAAAATTATCAGAAACTTACTGAATACTGTCCTAAATTTATTGTGAGGAGGAACCTACATATTTCTTATATATTGAAGCATAAGTAGGATGGTGTCCTGATGTTATTTTCATGGATGAACCAGTCATAAGTCACTAGATCTGTTCTCTAATGTTGACATTCTAAACAGCTTAGTGATGAATTATATAGTTTCTGCCATGGAGTGCTAACAAATATGACATGTACACGTGCATACTAAATGTTGGCTTTACCAAATCTCAATAGTCAATATTAGGTAACCATTTGTACTATTCTGGAGTAACTTTCATGTTGTTGTTTCTCAGCAGTTGGCAGATTTTGTGTTCCTTGTGGAAATGCTTCTTAATTGAGTCATTTATGGGCTATCTCTTTTTTCTCATGTTTGTCATGGTTTCGAAGTGTTATAGTTTGACAGAATAATCACTAATGTAAAACTTAACTCTTGATATTTTCTAATCATCTCTGGCATCAAGCTCTGGTAATTGAGTGTGGAGGCCAATTGTAGAGACACTTTGTAGCTACTTGTTGGATCTGCATCTTGGAAAGTTTGGGTTCTATTTGTACAATTTTATTTGGGAGCTACCAATACTGTTAATTATTACCTAGATATTAGGGTTACACCGTAATTTAGCAGGATTCTTAAGCCCTGATTACACATTTTGGTGATGATATCAGATTCATGAATGTCCTCTCACTTTTTGCAAGACTCTAGTGTATAAGCTTTGATAATTTTTGTTTTTGAACTTATTATTTTCTGGGCCATGGATTAGGATGAGAACTTATTATCATTTACGTCATTCATTTCTCAATAAAGTATCACTCCAAAAACTTTTAACATTTTTCTTCTTATACTATTTCTAATAATAGAATCACCAAAGAATGATCCAACAACTGGACTAGGTGGTCAACGGACAGGCATGCCTGATTACAAGGTATATCTCATTTGTTTTGTCCTCATTTCAAACCTAATTATGTCTTCATATGTTCATTTAACACCTATGTTCCTATCAGGGCCGTCTTGCGAGGAATTTGAAAGAGCACAATTCAGACATTGTGTGGTTGGGCGTTGCATGGACATGCGGTAAACTACTCAAGCACTACCAAGCATTTTGCAGGAATGGGACTACAATAGCGGTGAGCATTTGCCATTATTTTAAAAGAGGAAGCAGTTTTAATAGGAAATGAGCAGCGAGCCTGCAACTAACAGTAGCTGCTCTGAAAAGGAGAACTTGTGTAACACAAAACCTTAAATTGGCTCTAAGACCTGGGACATAGTGCACTAAGGCTCTGTTTGGATATAGGGTTTGAAGAGGGATTTGTGGAGGGAAAGGAAAAGGGTAGACAAAAGTGAATGAAATAGAAGTTAAATTTTTGCCACATTTCCCTTATTTTTTCTTTTACTTACGCAAATCCCTCCCCAAATCTTTGATCCCAAGATAGCCTAAAAGGTAGTAAAGTACCTAAAAGAGAAAGTTAATGCTGGAGTCACTTAAATTTGAATGACCTCAGTGAATATAGCTCGGTTGGCCCTATTAATAATATAGAACAACTGTTGATTTTATGTCACACTTCTATTTGAAGAATGATGTCATACATGCTTCATATATGAAATAAAGCTCAAGGTATGTCTGCATGATTACGTGTAAGCTCGGAATTTTGTGGCGTCATTATCAGGATTTAAATTAGTTGGCTGTGTTCTAGTTTGTGCCTTGTTGCATTGACTTCATGTCTGCCTCAATCTGTGAACCTCACTTGGCTGTTCAAATGACAAATACTTTTATGCTGTGTTTGGTTGGGAGATTTGGGAAGGGAAAGGGAAAAGGTAGGTGAAATGTAAATAAAATGTATTTACATTTCATCTAATTTCACATACTTTTCCCTTTCCCTTTCCCTTTCCCTTTCCCTTTCCCTTTCCAAATCCCCCAACCAAACATAGGCTTAGGTTCCATTTGTATTTATGGATTTGAAGTACATATTAGTCATTCAAGAAGAATAGCTCAAATTTTGTTTTGATAGTTTATCTATGGATTTCAAAATTAAATAAATAGCTTTATCTTGATGGATTTGAAATAACTATATGAAAGTAGTTACTTGAAATCATGCCAAGGATTTTTATTTTTTTTTTAACTACAAGGATCTTACTAATATACATCTCTTCTATCTCAACTTATCTTGTTCTACAATTTTTCAATCCACTATAATAAACAAACTTTTTTTTATTTTTTTGGGATAAATAAGAATTTACTATAATAAACCAACTTTTCAATATTCTTATAAAATTTAACCTCAAACCACTTGATTTGAAATCCATCCACATCGAAATGGAACCTTATGTATTTTTCATTTTCTCTGACATTTGTTAACTCTTCAATATTTAGGTACAATCCTTCGTCTTTGTCATGGCTGAAGAAGAAAATCGTCACCTTGCGTATTTGGAAGATATGTATGAAGATAGGAAGGGACAAAAAAAGGTCAAAGTGAGGTGGTTTCACCATAATCAAGAAGTCAAGGGTGTGATTTCTCTACGAAATCCTCACCCCAAAGAAGTTTTCATCACACCTCATGCTCAAGTCATCAGTGCGGAGTGTGTTGATGGTCCTGCCACAGTCTTAACTCGTGAACATTACGAGAAGTGTCTGACTGTTATACCAAGTGCCCTATTAGCCAGAGTACGTCTTTGCCATAGGCAATTTAAAAGCAATCGTGTGAAGCCCTTCAAATTGAGTAAACTGCGTGGCTATTTTGATCAACCAATTTTCTCGTGTTTTGATCCTGATTTCTTTGAAGACGAAGATTTTAGCCCAGGGGACAATGTAAAGGTGGGAGCTAAAAGGACAAGAAGTTGTAGAGGGCACCAAATGCTGACATATAAACCATCATACCCAAACTTGAAGAATGATGTTTTGCAGCCTTGGCATACCCGACCATTTCAGGTTAATGAAAAGATAGAGTTGCTATGCCAAGATAGTGGTATCAGAGGTTGCTGGTTCAGGTGTACAGTCTTGCGGGTTTCCCAGAGACGGAAGAGAGTCCAGTATGATGATGTGAAAGATGAAGATGGATGTGGTAGTCTTGAGGTATTCTTTTTCAGCTGGAACATTTTTTTGAATTTATATCTGTATGGGCTGAGATTTAAAATAGAAGATTAAAGAGATAGCGGGTAGTTTTAAAATTTTCACAATAAATAATAGTTGTTACCCTCCATTTTTTTGAACTTTGAAATTCTTTTTAAGAAAAGGGAACTTTAATGTTGGGTCAAATTGCAGCTGCCCCCATTGAATATGTGATTAGAAAACTCAATATGAACTATAGGTGCATGCCCAGTGTTTTAGACTAGGTCATTATCATTACCTTTTGGCGATAGGCTAGGGTTCATTGGAAACTCAATGTGAATTATAGTTGCCCAACATCTTAGACTAGGTTCATTACCTTTTGGCAGGAGTCTAGGATTCACTGGGATAAAATGTTTTGTCTTTCTGTGCATCAGTTCCCACGTGGACGAGGAAAACAGACATTTTCTGACATTTTATTCAATTTTTAGGAATGGGTTCCCGCTTTCAGACTGGCCATGCCTGACAAACTTGGAATGAGATGCCCGGGCCGTCCAACAATCAGGCCCGCCCTTCGTCATGATCAAATAGACCATGCCTTTGAGGTTGGAGCTCCGGTGGATGCATGGTGGAGCGATGGCTGGTGGGAAGGGGTTGTGACCGGAATTGGCAACTCTGGAGATGAAAGTTTACCTGTTTACATTCCCAGTATGCTTTACGAAATTTGACCCAATTGCCATTTTATATATATCTATACTATTACATATATAGCGCACAACTCACTTGGTATGAAAACTTTGTCACGCAATTTTGATTTCCAAAAAACCCATAACAGTAGTATGTTTTTCCCAAATATTTATCTTGCCTAGCTGTTAGTACAAGGGTCAAAAAGTAAAATCACTAAACTAATAACTGATACCCACTATACATGACTCTTTTCTCCACCCTCACCCACGATTTCCTGCACACGTTTGTGTGTGCGCACTTCTACTCTATATTATATATATGTTCTCTATTATATGAAGTATCCAACTCATTTGGTATGAACCTTTATCACCCAATTTTGATTCCCAAAAAACCCCGGCAACACTATTTTCTCAAAATATTTACTTTTGCTTAGCAGTTATTGTAAGGATTAAAATGTAAATTCAACTTTTTCCACTAGACAAATATATTCTCTCTCTCTACTCTCACCCGCTCATGATCTCCATATTGACAATTTCAATTGCAACCGTTCCTTTTTCCTGTATTTCATAAACTTCGTTTTCTTTTTCTTTTTCTAATGCATTGTTCTTTTGGGTGATGTTAGGTGAGAACATACTACTGAATATAAATAGAAAGAACCTAAGAGTCTCAAGAGATTGGATGGGGGACCACTGGGTTGATATCAAGTTGAATCATGACGTTCTCTCAGCCATATCTTCTGTCATCCGCCTAGATGCTAAGCTTTCTCCGGCCTCAATTTCTGCGAAGGAGCCCGAGTCTGATGATTTTCCTATGTCATGTCATGAAGTTCCTCCGACTACCAAGCTTGATATAGTCGAGGAGGAAAAGCTTGACTTGGACAATTTGGCTCCTGATGATGAACTTTCAAGAGGTATGGAGATAGATAATAATCATACTCATGTTAATAACAGTCCTGAAAAAGATGAAGCGGAGAATGGCCACCATATTAGTGATAATGTTGAAGATTATGATGATGATAATGATGATGTTGGTTATGGAGATGATAACAAGGGCAAGTTAGAGGAGTTTGAACCTACTGGGAAGAAATGTGAATCGGAATTCTTGGAAGTGGTCGCATGATATGTTTGACAGGAGTTTTAGTCCCCACAAATCAGGACATGGTGCAAATGCAAGAATGTATGTAAATAAAGAAAGAAAACTGTTGGGATTTACATTGCAAGTTTATTTTTTACTTTGGTTGATTTAGAGGGCGGACCTTTGTGCAGCAGTAAGATTACCTCTTCTTACGTGGGTGTAAGGCTATGTACATTTGATCCTCTCCAGACTCTGCAATGCCGAGACTCTGCAATGGCAGGACTCTTGTACTGGAACTGTCTTTTTAGCTTTAGGTGTACAGTTATGAGGTTAGAACTTAGAACTTTTGTTGAATTTCTGTTCTTAACTGATTGTTTTAGAATAGATGACTCAGAACCCTTCGTTTAAAACTCTCTATTGGGTTGGTTGTAGTCCAGTTCTTTGTAACTTTCTATACCTTATGTACCTCTGTACTGACAATGTTGTGTTCTCTTGTAATGTCGTCAAATCTTTGTCTCTTCTGTTTATATTTTGTGCTCTTTTCTTTTTATTGATTTTTTTTTTTTTTTTTAAAAAGAAGGAAAAATCGGTCTAGGGTCCCTCTCCCACTTTTCGTAATGGAAGAGATCTACAAAATTATTTTTTGATGTCTAAGGTCCCTAAACATATATCAGATGAAAGTTTCACTTGCTCCTCTCTTTCCACTTATTGAAAGACCTCTCGATTGTCTTCAACACTGGACAATTCGATTCATACAAACTCAATTTGACCGATTCAACGATCGGAAACTCCGAAACCGAACTTCAATTAGAAACCCTAGGTTTGTTCGGGATTCAACACTGCGATTACGGCCTCAGTTGGCTCTGGAGGAGTTGTAAACAGCTCAAGAAACTCCAATTGCGAAGCTGCTATGCAATCGGCGATGAATCATCACTCTCATTGTTCGTCGAATGCTTAATTGGTCTCCAAGAAGTGGAATTGTGGACATGTAGGGCGATAATCGACGAGGTTCCTCTTCCTCTTCCTCTTTCATACACTTTCTCATTCTAGGGTTTCAAGTTCTTGAACCTCTTCAATTTCATGTTAATTCATCATCCCCTGTTTTCCCTACTCTTCCCTCAAGCTTTTACAGTCTATTTCATACACTTTCCTTACTCTTCTGTCCCTAATGCTTTAGATTTGCACCTTACAATGAACAAGTGTGATGATCAATCTGGGAAGCAAGATGCAAAAGAACAAGAAATGGAATGTCTGGTTGTAGGATGCAGCTGTTTCAGAGCCCGGGGAGACTAAGAGTTTTGTGGAGGAAAAAATTTCAACTTCTTCTATGTTTGAAACAGATGCTTCAGTTCCTGAAATTGAAAAGACTGAGAAGCAAGATGTAGAAGCACAAGCGAGCAATGATCTTATTTTGCAGGATGCTCTTTTGAAGCCCTGGTGGACAGACATGGATGAAAGATTCTGCATAGATGGAAGATTCTGGATGCTCTTTTGTATGTTTTATGGATAGAGAAAAAGTTCCTTTATCATGTCATACATGGATGGAAGATTCTGCTTCTGGTGGATAGCTATTTACTTGTTGTGAACCAGAATTTCTCTGTGAAGTCCAGAGAAAATTCGACTAGAGAAATTCTCTGTGAAATGTGAAGTTCAGAGAAAATTGGACCAGAGAAAATCTCTGTAAAATAGAATTTCTCTGTGAAGTCCAGAGAAAATTCGTCTAGAGAAATTCTCTAGATCTAATTTTCTCTGACTAGTTGAGTCTAACTGATTCAATTTCCCCTTCTACAGCTTGTATTATATTTGTCAACTACACAAATGATGTGTTCTTGTACATGTGTGCTTTTGGTATTGTTGTTGTTTCTTGGTAATAAAGTTTGTGCATCATTTGTGCTGTTTAGTTACTGATATAGAGGTTGATGAAGATGTCGAACAAGAAGATAAACTTGGAGTTCGAAACCTTCAGCATCTCTGTGTTCTACAAGAGGCAAAGCAGTCAAGTAAAAGTCCTTTTCATCTCGTTATTGCTCCGAGCCTTCACTTCCAACTCGGCTGAATCCAGTGACCGTGACGATAATTCGGGCTTAAGCATTAGCGATTGTATGGAAAAGTGCTAGAACAATTGCAGTTGTGTTGGGTTCACCACAAGCAATAGCAATGCTAGTCCAGAGAAATTCTCTGGGTTCCAAATTAAGCATTCTAGGTTCCAAATTGTGAATTGAATTTTTTTTTTCAATTGAAGTTGAAACTAGAGAAATTCTCTGGTTTTTGAACTGAATTTTCTCTAGGTTGAAACCAAAGAAATTCTCTGGTTTTTTAACTAAATTTTATCAGGGTTAGAATTTCTCTGGACCAATTTTCTCTGTGACGTGAGATGATGACAATGGTCATGATCCGGCGTTGAAGAAGTTGCAGAACTCTCCCATTAATGGAAGACTGAAGCGGAAATATAAAGGCCATGAATTGTATACGAAACACAATGGTAGAAAGAATTTTGAATTTATAGCTAATACATTGTTTTGAATTTATAGCTAATACATTGTTTTTTCTTAGGAATTGGAAAGAACTTGCATCAGGTGATAAAATGGAAGGGGAAAAAAAAAAAATCATTCGTAAACTTCTTCAAGATAAAAAAGACATTTCTTGATTATCAGTGCACAAACATTCACCAAAAACATGCATGGTGTATGTGTGGCTCCCTCTGCATAAAATTCTGAGAATAATTAGATTTTCCAGAGAAATTTGGACTGAAATTTCTCTGGACCAATTTTCTCTGGACTGAAATTTCTCTGGACCAATTTTCTTTGGACTGAAATTTAAAAATTGTTTACTTTTCATGCCCAAGAATCTAAAAAGTTTTAAAAGGAAAAATTAAATAAAAATCAGAAAACAGTTCACTAAAGCAAAAAAATAAAAAGACATGAGCTTCCTCGAACTTTCTCATAACAAAAAAAGTAAATTTTTATTATTTGCCTTAAATAGTAACTTTTTTAAAACTAATTCTAAAAAAGTAAAAAAATAATAAAATAAATAAATAAATAGACAAATGCATTTTCCAAAACTAACCCTCAATTCCCACTCAAGAAAACAAAAGAAACTAGTGCTCAAAACTTCTCTGCCCTAAATATAGTCTGTTTTAGCCTTCTGTACAAAAGAATTCCTATCCCCAACCCCCACTGTACCTGCTCTCATCCAAGAGTTATAAACAACATCAAACACTACTATAGTCTCAGCCATTGCTCTCCCTCAATGAATTTCATATCCAGAAAACGCCTTGCTTCCTCATAACTGAAATTCTTCGACCATGGCACTCGATACCTTCTATTTGCTCCTTTGCCTCTGCACTTGTATTCCCCGAACACAGCAGTCCTGTAAATATGCAAATTTCGATTAGTTCTTGTAAGTTATCAATAGCTTATAGAGTAAATTGAGACATGGATTAATACTTTTGCCTAGATGGTTGATCCCAATCGCTCCATCCAGATGGAATTATTATATTGTCGATATCACAATACGAATATATTGCTCGTGAGTAATCTCCCCAAGCTCTTCCCAATAAGATATTCCCCGTTCCATTGATCGTACAGTTTACGAAAGAGAATCCTGTATCCTCGTCTTCTGAATTCCTGTGATGAGCTGCGATTGCTCCAAATCTTGTGGCAGTCGAGTGAAGAACACAGTCCTAGTGATTCAAGACACCAATGAAGAGTTTTCATGAAAAACAACATGAATTTCTTTTGAAAATAATCTAACACAATGGATGACATTATAACATAAGATATGCAATATGTAGGACTGTCAATAATCTCAGTTGATATGTAAAAATTATATTAAAATATGTAAAAATTGTATAAAAATATACTTGATAGAGCGATTTAGAGCTGCCAAATATGAAATCAACCGTTCCTTGAATGTGACATTGGTAAAAATAGTGTGATCCGTTATCATCTAGTAATGTATCCTGTGCCCCCAAAATCTGAACCCTGTACAACATGGCTTTGTCACCCGATAACCTTAATGCCACGGCTTGCATGCCATAGCCTCCGGGAACTGCAACCACTGTGTTCTGCAATTTGCATAGCGCGACAAAGATGAGAAATTTGACAATAGCATCAGTGGAAGATGTGAAAATTGAAAAGAGTTGATGGTTTTTTACACTAATGGTGATTCCAGTGGCGCAAAAGTAATCGGATTCTACTTCAACAGAGGCTGATCCGAAGGTTCCTATTTCAGAACCATCCTTGTCTTTGTCAGAGGCTTTGTTGTGCCAAGTGATGATGGTTTCAGAGGTTCGATTTTCGTCTCCGATGAAGGAGATGTAAGGCTTGGAGTCTGGAACAAGCACCTTTTCTCTATATCATAAATTTAATTCAATTATAAGTGGCCAAACTATAAAAACAAAAATAAAAATAATAAAGAAAAAATAATTTGATGAAGTATTCAACTTCTTTGTAGGTACAAACCCTGAGTCAAGTTCCCTGATTACATTCAATGGTGGAATCAAAAATTAATCCAGATGGGTAACTATTAATCACTATCTTGAATTATTATTTTTTATTTTTACTTGTAATTAGTAACAATAAGATAATAAGAACTTTTGAAACTAATATTAAGCATAAAAGCTTAAATACTCATTACATAAGTTTTTAATGTAAACTTTTTTAATCCAGAGGGGCAACTGTTAATCACTATTAAATTCTATTTTTTTATTGTAATTAATAACGATTAGACAATAACAACTTTCTGAAATAATATTAAGCACAAAAGCTTAAATATTCATTATATAAGTTTTTAATGTAAACTTTTCCTTTTTGACCTCAACGAATTTTCATCTTTTAAAAAATAAAGGAAAAATCAATGAATGTTTATAAAAATAATTTCAAATCAATGAAAAATTTTATAAATTTTAATACGTAAAATTATGAAAATTTTCGTAAAATAATAATTATTTTCGAAAAATTTCACTGGCAAGTAATTTCCCCAAAGATAAAAAGATCCTAAAAAAATACTCTCAACATTAGTATAAATTAAAATCTCTAATTTCAACACAAAAATCTAATTTTAACACAAATAACAACAAATTAAAATTCTTAATTTTAATATATCAAAAACATATTAACCTTATCCCCACGACTACACTACAATAACCACTTACCACTATCACTACTATTACCACCACACCACCGCTACAACCAACATCATTAGTTTTAAGGTTGGAATTAAATAAATAAAAATTTTAAATAAACAAATTATTCAAAATTTATTTTCATAATAAAAATAATTATAAAAAAAATTTAAGACAGAGAATGGCACAACCAGTGAAGAACTAGGACCTCATGCATGGATAGAGATTAGAGAGAGAAAGAGAGGGGGGCATGTAAAATAACTCCCCCAATACCCACGTTGCTACTTTTGAGTCCCCACTCTCCACCCCCACACATGAGAAGTTAAAAAGTAACAAAAGAGCAATATCCATGGCCAAACAACTCTTAGAGAAACAATACACCAAAACTCTGGTTTATTCTCAATTAAAGTTGCATTGATATAATTTACCTGTAAATTCCAGGAAGAATGTAAATTTTCACTCTCTCAGAATTATGCAGAGGAACCATATCGACAGCACCTTGAACTGTAACTGAATCACCACTACCATTCCAATCCACCACAATCACCCTACTCCGATTTCGCTCCTCTCTCAAACCCATCTTCTCCTTCGTCAAATCCACCCTCATATCATCCCATGTAATCACATTCTCATCCTGCACTTGGTTGTTGATCTCCGCTGATACAACCCCCAAAAACAATACAGCAACAACAACAACAACAAACACTCTCAAAACCCACAAACCCATCTCTAATACTCTCTCTTCTCTTCTGGGTAGCTTCCAAATTTGCAAGTTAATGAAGGATTAATGGAGATTGATGGAGTTTGATGGAGATCAGGGGACAAAGGTGGTGAGAAAGGAGTGAATGTAATAAATAGAGGAGCGTGGTTGAAGATGAAAACTATTGTAGGTCTGTGAAAACTCAATGTCTAGCATGTTTGTTTCTTGCATGTGCATATATATAGATAAGAATTGGATATAGTAGTTGTGAAATAATTTGAGGTTTTGAGTCCTAATGCAATTCGAGAAGTGTTTGTTAATTTATTATTATTATAGGGACGAAAGAGATGGAGTTGTGTTTGAAGTAGAAGAGGAGAAAGAGGCTTAGTGTCATGTCATGATATTTATTTAGGGGAGAGAGAGAGAGAGAGAGAGATGATTTTAATAATTTGGAGTGGGAGTTTTGGAGATTTGGCAACTTGAGGGATTGTTGAGGAAGATGGTTTGTTTAGGAGTAGTTATGGAACTCCAAGAGATGAGATGTGTATATACTACTAGTATCGAGTCAGAGGTTTAGTATATTTGAATTTATTTATTAAGATTTTACTAAATTTGAATTTAAGTTTGAGAGTCTCTAGTCAAGTTATCTTAGGCTTGACTCGAGCTCGAGCTTGTTCACGAGTCTTAACGAGTCAAAAAATTTATAAATTCGTATTTGCAAATAAGAATAAAGTTACAATTAAAATTTTAATTGCATAATTATATATACAATATATATAAATATACTAAAAAAAAGTTAATATTTTACCAAAATAATAATATCTATTAACACTATTATATAAATGTACTATTTATAGTTAACTATTATTTGCATTTATTTTTTAAATATATAAATAACATATTTATCTTATTTTTTATATATATTTTTACATTATTTAATATATAAATAATAAATATTAAACAATCCAGCTAATGAGTCGAGCTTACGAGCTGAGCTTTAGAATGTTTGGACTTGTTTATTAAAAATTTAACAAACTCGAATGCAAAAAAAAAAATTTAATGAACCGAGTTCAAACGAACTCTTACCAAGCCGAGCTCGAGTCTGTTCACAAACAGCTTTGTTCATTTGCAACCTTATATACTATTATACATACATATAGTCCTCTTTGGTTTACATATAATAATGATTCATCCAGTGAATTTGTTTATCCCGAATTCATTTGAATAAGTCTTTTCGCGATAAAAGATTTTTATCAATGAGTTTCTTCCAGATAAGAGACTCATTCGATTGAATTTAGACTAAACAAATTCGGTGAATGTAATGGTACTGAAAATTGCTAATAAGTTGTAAGCCCCAAAAAAATTATAAATTCATGAAAAAATAATGACTTTAATTATTATAATTGATAAGTTTTATCATTAATTTGAAATTTATTTTGAAAACCTACACTAATTTGTAATTCCCGCTATATATTTCAAAGGTTATTATTTAATATTCTCAAAATATTGTTTACATAACGTTTCAAATTAATTATGTAGTAAAATTTTTTATGTATTGACTCACTTTTGTTAAAAAATTATTCACTTAATATATATTGTGATTTTTTATTAGATAATAATATCATATACATAAACGCTACCCAATAGTTGATTTTATCAAAAACTTAAAAAAAAAATATTTATATTTTAAATATTTTATTTAATATGATTTAATATAATTAAAATATTAAAAGACCCCACTATATAATTTGACTATTTAAAGAATGGACGATTTTTTTATACATTAGAAAATGCATTTAACATTATTGACAACCAACAACGAACACATCATTAACATCATTTACTTTTGGAAAATGTCTCGTAACTCAAATTTTGTGGCTCAAATGGCCAAAACGACGTCGTTTTGGCCATTTTTATGTTGTTCTGTACTCAAAACGACGTCGTTACATAAACGCTACCCAATAGTTGATTTTATCAAAAACTTAAAAAAAAAATATTTATATTATAAATATTTTATTTAATATGATTTAATATCATTAAAATATTAAAAAACCCCACTATATAATTTGACTTTTTAAAGAATGGATAATTTTTTTATACATTAGAAAATGCATTTAACATTATTGACAACCAACAACGAACACATCATTAACATCATTTACTTTTTGGCTTTTTCTTTTTTTTTCCTCATATAGTTTGTTGGCTTTTTTTTTTTTCAAAATAAATTTCCAAATAAGATTGAAATGTTTTTTTATTTTTTATTTTTAGAGAGGGCCTAAATGTTATTTAGGCCTATTTTGCCAATTGGATTAAAAATCAATTTTTTGACTTTTTTGAGTCACATACCTCTATTTTTTTTTACATATTTTTCAAAAAAAAAAATCAAAAAAAATTGATTTTTAACCTACTTCCCAAAATAGGCCTATAAAAGTTTTTTTTTTGTTTTGTTTTTTATTTTTATAATTTGTGGCACTTGAATGTGAGTGACTTCATCTCTAAAAATTTCTAGAATCTCCACTAGTCCTAAATATCACATGGCTTCATCTATATGGTCATTCCGGCAAATAAAAAATCACGATACGCACAAAATAAGTCATTTTTATTTCTCAGTTACTTAACAAATGTGATTTATCATGTCCTACTCATAAATTTTTATGAGTGTGACTCACCGTTGAAATGAATTTGAAATCATTAATTTTTTTTAATTTTTATTTTTAAAAATATTTCTCTATGTAAATTTTTTTTTTTTTTTTTTTTAAAAAGAGAGGCTATTTTTCATGGCATGCCACATAGGCACCTAGTGTTGGCATGGTTGCAAAGAAGCAACAACTACAAATTGATTTAGAAAGCTCATGTGAATGTAGAAGAATATGAGTCCATCTCGTTTAACACTATTCTATTGTAAGATTTAGTACAAAGTGTAATAGAATTTATTTAATTTTAAACTTAAATTTAAGTTTATCTCAAAGAGTTTCAGTTGTCTCAATTCTTCTACTTGTCCAAGTTTAATTCGAAATGTAATAGAATTTATTTAAGTTTATCAATTCAAAATATAGTAGAATTTGTCTAAGCTGAACCCTAACCTACTGTCCAAATGAATTTGTTCAAATTTGAGTTTTAGTTTATCTCAAATAACTTGGATTCCCTGAATTTATTTGTTTGTCCAAAGTTCAAATCGAAGTGTAATAAAATTTGTTGAAGTTTGCCTCGACCCCAACTTTTAGTCCAAATGAACTTGTTGGAACCTGGTGGAGGTTTTTTCAGAATTTTTTTAATGATTTGAGCTATTAATATTATAAGATTCGTTGAATAGATCATTCATGCAAAATTTTTTTTTATTGAAAATCTATAACTTTAAAATAAGAACACATTTATTTTTTAAAAAATAAACGGTTAATATTATCTTGATAATTTTTGTAAAACAATTTGAATCTGATCATAGGGTTGCGAATTTTTGATTAACTTGATTTTTTAATGAATGATATACCCGACGAATCTTATATTATGAACGGCTCGAATTATCAAGAAAAACTCAAAAAAAATCCCCCACCGGAATACGATAGATCCCTGTTATGACTAGCAGGATCCTCAAATCCTGGAACCTGAGTTTGAATTTATTTCAAAGACTTTAGGCCCCGTTTGTTTTCAGATATAGAATTGAGGGGATTGATAGTGAGGGGATTAAGCAAAATTGTATTTGTTTTGATGATAGTTGTTAGTGTAGGGATTGTTAAATTATTTTTATATAAAATAAATATAAAATACAAAAAAATACAAAAACATTAAACATTAATGTTTTAAAAAAAATGCCCAACATGTAAATTTTTTTAAAGAAATAAAAATAAAATAAAAAATTTTCAGACAAAAATAAAATAAATAAAATAATGATTTTTACTTAACAAAAAATACAAAAAATTAAACATTAATGTTAAAAAAAAAATACCCAACATGTAAAAAATAAATTAAAAATAAATTTCTAGTCCGCCGGACTATTTTTCTAATACCAAGTCCTGGAAGCCCATCCGAATCCCATTTGCAAGGCCTATCCTAAGCCCTTCGGTTTAGCAGTCTCTTCCTCAACTCTGTAAACAAACAACACATTAAATGGGGCCCATAGTTATCCTAATCTCAATCCCGCTCTCATATCCCAAAATAAACGGGCCTTAGGTTGTCCAAATTCAAGAGAAAAATAAAAATATTTTTAAGTTTAACTAATGTATTTCAATTTTTAAAAACAAAACAAAAATATTCAAAAATTATAAGAGGGTGATTGTTTACATTAAAGTATGTTAATTTAATGATGAAGAAAATCAGTATTTTTATTTTATATGTGAATTTCATGTTTATTATATATTAGTGTATATATTAATAATATAATTTTTTGACATTATTTGATTCTTATTGAATGCTCAATTGGCAGTCGTTATCTATAACCTTTTATGAACTCTTTCATTTTGAATTAATTATTTTTTATATAATACATTTCAATTAATTAAACAAAAGAGACATTGAAATCTCCTAATTTTAAATGGGTGTAATTCTCTGTTTGTCAAAGAAGTGAATAAAAGTAAAATGTGCAGGAGCCATGTTGTATTTTTCCACAGCACACCATGTGAGAGATGGGTTGGAATTAATTCTTCCCAACTTTTATGAAGCAAGTGAGGCTAGTATTTTTATTTTTTATTATATTTTTTATGACAAATGCTAATAAGTGCCTTTTGGATATTGTTTAATGTTAAGAAATGTGTAAAAAATATTTTGAAAATATGTGAAAACATTAAAAAGTGTATTAATTTTAATAAAACTACATTGAATTTAGTAAAAAATATATTGTATTTTTTTAATTTTTTTTTTATCGTCCACTTGTATCTTAAGGACATTTGTTAATAAGATCTTTTTGCCCCTTTCAAGGGAAAATTATCATGTAGTCCTATGTAGGAGATCTATTTCCCTTCTAATCCCAATTTATTTTTAATAGATTAATAGGTCCACAGTTTTTTAAGTTTTATACCCAGAGGTCTCGTTTTTTATTTTCGTACTTTTAAATGACTGTATTACCCTTTGTTTTGAGATCTATATGTACGTGAAAAATCAAATTTTTGCTCCGTTTAAAAAAGGGAAATCAAATCTTCGTCTCCGCGATCTCGATTTCTCTTCGTTGTGGCGATCTCATTGTGCTGTGTGGTCGATCTCATTGTGCTGTGAGGTGGATCTGGTTGTGCGATTTGAATCTCTGTATACAGGCGATATCTGCGTACGTTGTCTCTCTCTCTCTCTCTCTCTCTGGTGATAAATATATGTATGTGTATGTATGTATCAGTCGATACATAGATATACATATATATGTATATATATATATATAGATTTGTATATATATTGCATTTTCTTGACAACAACACCTTCACTTCACCTATCGTTTGAAAATAATTTAATTTTTTAATAAGTCATTAGTTACATATATTCATAGAGGGAGATTTGTGGCGAGATGATTGGGTCGGGGTTAAATCAAGTCCTTGTCATGGACTGGGCTACAGTTTGCAAGGTTGCAATAATACCATCAACATTCAGGTGAGCAAACGGCAAACATCGCCAGACCGAGCAATTGTTTTCGCATGTTTGGCAGACTAGAATTGGTCTAGAGCTACATTAGCACGAAATGAAGAGGCTACCAAACTACGTTAGCTCGGCGTGGCACTTGTTCTTGGCAGCATCAAGGTTGAGTCATTTGCATGTTGGGTAAGCGACGGGGCTGATGATTTGCTCGGTTGTCGACCAAAGAGTTGTAATACACTTTCTTTAGTGATGAGAGTGTTAAAAATGGGCATTATCTTTTAGGAAGATGCATTATAGTAGGATTCTAGGAAAGGGAATTAGCAAGGATGTAAATTTGGCTCGACCTGGCCCAGCCCACGTCAGGCCTCGCGGGCTCCAGCCAAAATTTGGGCTGGGCCAAGCTAGTCTATGGACTAGAAAATTAGGCCCAAGCCTAGGGGATATTTGGGTTTTGGGCGAGCTTGAACATTTTTTTTTTGTTTTTTTTTAAAATTTTTTCTACCAAGATTTTATTATTTTCCATTAAAAAATACATTGGGCCTCAGGTGGGCCAGGCCTTGAGTGGATTTTAAGCAGGGCGATGGGCGAGACTAGGTGGGCCGGGCTTCAAATGATGGCCTAGGCCTAGGGTCTCAAGCTAGGCTCGGGTCCGAATGGGCCTAAATGGGCTAGGTCCACCCCGGGCTGCAGGCCATTTTTACACTCCTAGGAATGGTGCATGCACATGGGGGAGGACAACTAGTAGAGCTCCGCTCTGCTGGAAAAAGGACATTGCCTGCTTGAAAAAAGCGACCGGCAACCCAGAAGTAGTGGCCGGCCACCCACTAAAAGTGGGTTGCCGTCCAGAAAAGTGGTCTGCCGGCCACTGATGTTGGTTCTTTCCTGCAGCAACAGAGGACAAACAGAGCACAAACCAGAGTATTTTCTGGAGATGTTTGTCCACCCTACCTCTCCTTATCAGTAAACAGGTCAAAGGAGGGGTATGCTTGATTCGCAAATCATCAATCAGTGTAATCTCATTGCGTGATGACTTATGAATCAAGGGACATAATTTCAATAAATGCATAACAAAAGACGAACAAAACCTCCTCCCTATCATGGATTGATCAAGGGAAGTGGTTGACCTTGGAAACTTGAACCATTTCATCACTAACAAGTATAAAATGAGCCAAGTCTCCATGTGTTCAATTAACGTCCGATTGAACACTAAAACCTTTTATTATCTTGCATCACTTTTAGTCCCAAGTTTTATTACTTCATTTTAATTACCTTTCATATCTTAATTCATTAAGTCCAAAAATGAGTTTTAAGTCCTATAATGGAAAGGAGCATCAAACAAAGAGTTGTTTTGGGCATGAGAGAAGCACCATGCCATTGGTAATGAACCTCCAAAGGGATTAAACTATTAAGCACAATACCTCTATCTCAAGCTTAAACAAGCAACTAGTTTGAAACTTCTTCTCCCTCTGAATCAAACTTTATAACTCCGGACGTGGGCATCCCTAGTAGTTACGGTTGGTAACACTTAAATATTTGACCAAGGGAGGGTTTCAAATTAACCGTTGCCATGCTTAGTGGTTGGTAAGTTAAATCTCTTTGGTGAGATTTCGAGTGTCACCTAAATTATTAAAATTACTGAAACTATTCTAATGGTTGTAATTTCTGTGTATAATTATATTGTTATCTCATGTTTAGAATATTATTATTTTTCTCTTAAAAAGAATGGTAGGTTGGTTACGTTTTCTTACTGTGTTGCAAAACTCATGGCATATATTTTGTTGCCCTGGCGTTTCATGCCAGATTATGTTGAAGAAGGGACTGAGGCTGAAATTGGAGCTGCTGCCAATATCGAACCTTGGCTGACTTAGAGTCAAGATTTTGTCAGAATAAAATCCTGTTATCCCTTGTATTAGGATTAAACTATGTTGTGACGTTGTGTGTGAACTCGTAGTTTTATTTTGTCGTTGGACTTTGGCTTTGTAAGAACTTAAAAGGTCCTAACTAGTAGTTAAAATTTTATCTAGCAAGTTATTGTTATTTAAAATCTTATGACGTTTCAAAAAAAAAATTTTGGGGCGTCATAGCGTGATATCAGAGCCTAGGTTTGAACCTTTGGGCCATGGGTAGTAGTTTATTATTTTTACAGTTAAGAAAACCTTAAGTTAATTTGTAATTCTCGGTGACCTAACTAAGTTAGAACCTTTTTATTTGTAGGATGCCAGGGTCATCAGACATTAACTCTAACGAGGAAAATTCGGTGGAAAACTATGACATAGAATCTGACCCAAGTGAAGACGTGGAAATGCCTATAGAAGACTATGAATCTGAGCCTGAGCTTGACCCTAAACCTGATCCTGAACTTGAGCCTGAACCTGAGTCTGAAGAAGTTGAAGAAGTTGTACCAATATACAACCCCCCGGAGGTTATTGTGATTGAGTCAGACACTGAGGACGAGTCTATGGAAGGCAATACCGAGGGGAACCCTGGAGATATAGGAGCCACGTTTGAGGGTTGGGATGTGCAAAACGGGTTGCAGATTGGCTCTTCTGTATATGTCAGACTTTATCCCCTCGGAGGTTGTGCTTGGAAAAATGAGAGTTGGGTGGGCACCTATATCGGACCTATCCAGATTCTAAGACAAGAGACTCCCTGGGTATATCAACTAGGCCCCTTTCCGGACGTATTTTTTATATGAATTTCATGTTTATTATATATTAGTGTATATATTAATAATATAATTTTTTGACATTATTTGATTCTTATTGAATGCTCAATTGGCAGTCGTTATCTAGACCCTTTTATGTTTGAATTAAGTATTTTTTATATGAATTTCATGTTTATTATATATTAGTGTATATATTAATAATATAATTTTTTGACATTATTTGATTCTTATTGAATGCTCAATTGGCAGTCGTTATCTAGACCCTTTTATGTTTGAATTAAGTATTTTTTATATGAATTTCATGTTTATTATATATTAGTGTATATATTAATAATATAATTTTTTGACATTATTTGATTCTTATTGAATGCTCAATTGGCAGTCGTTATCTAGACCCTTTTATGTTTGAATTAAGTATTTTTTATATGAATTTCATGTTTATTATATATTAGTGTATATATTAATAATATAATTTTTTGACATTATTTGATTCTTATTGAATGCTCAATTGGCAGTCGTTATCTAGACCCTTTTATGTTTGAATTAAGTATTTTTTATATGAATTTCATGTTTATTATATATTAGTGTATATATTAATAATATAATTTTTTGACATTATTTGATTCTTATTGAATGCTCAATTGGCAGTCGTTATCTAGACCCTTTTATGTTTGAATTAAGTATTTTTTATATGAATTTCATGTTTATTATATATTAGTGTATATATTAATAATATAATTTTTTGACATTATTTGATTCTTATTGAATGCTCAATTGGCAGTCGTTATCTAGACCCTTTTATGTTTGAATTAAGTATTTTTTATATGAATTTCATGTTTATTATATATTAGTGTATATATTAATAATATAATTTTTTGACATTATTTGATTCTTATTGAATGCTCAATTGGCAGTCGTTATCTAGACCCTTTTATGTTTGAATTAATTATTTTTTATATAGTACATTTCAATTAATTAAACAAAAGAGACATTGAAATCTCCTAATTTTAAATGGGTGTAATTCTATGTTTGTCAAAGAAGTGAATAAAAGTAAAATGTGCAGGAGCCATGTTGTATTTTTCCACAGCACACCATGTGAGAGATGGGTTGGAATTAATTCTTCCCAACTTTTATGAAGCAAGTGAGGCTAGCATTTTTTTTTTTATATTATTTTTTATTATATTTTTTTATGACAAATGCTAATAAGTGCCTTTTGAATATTGCTTAATGTTAAGAAATGTGTAAAAAATATTTTGAAAATATGTGAAAACATTAAAAAATGTATTGATTTTAATAAAACTACATTGAATTTGGTAAAAAATATATTGTATTTTTTAATTTTTTTTTTACCTTTCACTTGTATCTTAAGGGCATTTGTTAATAAGATTTTTTTTGAATTGTTTCAATTACTCATTTGTAAATGGTTAATACAAAGAAAGCTCAATTCACTTTTTGGGATTTTTTAAATTTTTTAAATTTTTTTGGCATTGTTGTTAATAAGTAAATAATTTAAGTTAGCATAATCAGCTGTTTAATGTTTCTTTATAAATTCGAACTCAAATTTTTTTTAGAAATTTAAATGAACAACCACTTGAGCTATGCTATGAAGCCTCCGTTTAGGAAGTGGGTTAGCTTTTTGACTTTTTACTTTTGTTGGCTAGTTTAGCCTGGGGCTAAAAAACCTGGTTTGGGAAGGGCTTTTTGGCTTTTTTAGCTTTTTGATTTTTTGGTGAGGTGTCTTCCTGTTAATTTACCAAACTGCCCTTAATTATTTTTTTTTTTGTTCTGAAAAATCAACTTTTCAGAACCCTTCGTGGTACGATTTTTCGATCACCACCAAGCCCAGATTTCTGAGATTTCACAGGCAAAGGAGGTTTCTTGTTTTCCTTAATGCTACTCCTCAGAAAATACCTCTGATTCTCTCTTCGATCCATCGTCGCCATGGGTGTAGAAAGTACAGATTTTCTCAATCCTTTCACATCCCATTTCTTTGCAGATTCAACTTTAACTCCAAGATCGTACACAGTCTTCTTCGTCTTCTCATCCCCTATTTCACTGTTCTTTCTCTTCAGCCTTTCATTCCTTATTGCAGAGTACTCTTCGTAAAACCTATCCCTTTCAAACACACTACTCGAAGTTACACTGATTGAATTACCAAACCTAACATTGATAGAACCTGGGTTTTCGAATTCGTCTTGTACCATCTTCGTCAATGCCTGTAATTCAACAGAAATCGAGTTGTATTCAGGACGAATCTCTGATGGTGTTCTCAGTGGAGCGAAGAACGCGATGAGGAGAAAGATGCAAAGGAGATCTAGGGAGTGATGGCTTGTGATCTGATCTCATCATGGACATTGATGGAATTCTTCAGGGTATTTTGGTAAATTTACCCCAATAAGGGTTTCAAACCAACCCGTGAAGCAGTTTTGTCTCCATGTGGCTAAATAAGCCTAATTTGTTCGGACATGGCTAATTTAGCCCCAGATCAACTTCTCAAACGTTGCCTAAGCCTCCGTTTGAGAAGTGGGTTGGCGTTTTGGTTTTTTTGGCTATTTTAGCCAGGGGCTAAAACACTTGGTTTGAGAAGGGCTTTTTGATTTTTTTGACTTTTTGGCTTCTTGGTGAGGTGCCTTCCTGTTAATTTACGAAACTGCCCTTCATTGAAGTCTACCTGTGATTCAATGAAGAAGGCGTCCACGTCAGCTTCCTAAACGGTCCGAAATTGTTGTTGTTGTTGTTTTTTTTTTTTTATTATTATTATTATTATTTTCGGTTTGGATTTGGCGTATTTTGCTTAAATTATTATTATTATTTTTTATTTTGGGTTTGGATTTGGCGTATTTTGCTTAATTTTTTTTTTTTAAAAATTTTTGTTTTTGTCAATTTTTTTTATACATTAATTAGTTCTTGTTCTTTAATTTACGTTTTTTGCCTTATTTATTTTTATTGGTATACAATAACATTTTTTTTTACTTATGTGTTTCATTTATTTGTAAATTACATGGCGACTGGTAATTTAAGTTTTCATGTTTTTTTTAAAAAATATTTTTGAATGAGGCGCATTTTTGTCGTTATTTTTTCTTTAATTTACGATTTTGTCATTTTTTTATTCACTCACATTAGTTTGTTTTTATATTTAAAAAATGGATTTTCACGTGTTTTATTTATTTGTAAATTACGTGGCAAATGCTAATTTCTGTTTTTTTTTCCTTTTATTTTTGGATAAGGCCTATTTTTGTCGTTGTTTTTTTTTTAATTTACGTTTCTGTAATTTCTTTTTATTTGTATACATTAATTAGTTTTTATATTTGACAAATGGGTTTTTTTTTTTTTTGCAAATGGTTTTTTCATGTGTTTTTTGTTTTTATTTTTTTTTATCATTTTCTGTGAAATGATAAAAAGTGAGGTTTTATTTTATTGTCCTGTGTATTTTAAATAATTTAATTTTAATTTTAATTTTATTTTAAATATTTAATTTTAATTTTAATTTTAATTTTAATTTTAATTTTAATTTTAATTTTAATTTTAATTTTAATTTTAATTTTAATTTTAATTTTAATTTTAATTTTAATTTTAATTTTAATTTTAATTTTAATTTTAATTTTAATTTTAATTTTAATTTTAATTTTAATTTTAATTTTAATTTTAATTTTAATTTTAATTTTAATTTTAATTTTAATTTTAATTTTAATTTTAATTTTAATTTTAATTTTAATTTTAATTTTAATTTTAATTTTAATTTTAATTTTAATTTTAATTTTAATTTTAATTTTAATTTTAATTTTAATTTTAATTTTAATTTTAATTTTAATTTTAATTTTAATTTTAATTTTAATTTTAATTTTAATTTTAATTTTAATTTTAATTTTAATTTTAATTTTAATTTTAATTTTAATTTTAATTTTAATTTTAATTTTAATTTTAATTTTAATTTTAATTTTAATTTTAATTTTAATTTTAATTTTAATTTTAATTCGCAAGGGTGGAAAGGTTTTTTTTTGGGAAAAGGTTTTTTTTTTTTTTAATTTGTGTATGCTGACGCTGAGGCGAAAGTGAGGTTTCATGTGGGGGTAGTTTCGTAAATATACCTGTGAAATGGTTGTTGCCAAGCTCCTGCTAACCTTTTGTCTCCATGTGGTTAAATTAGACTTTTTTGTTCGTATGTGGCTAAATTAGTCCCAACTTTGCTTCCCAAACACCACCGAGTTTATCTCAAAGACTTTAGGCCCCGCTTGTTTTCAGAGGTAGAATGGAAGGGATTGATAGTGAGGGGATTAAGCAAAATTGTGTTTGTTTTGATGATAGTTGTTAGTATAGGGATTGTTAAATTATTTTTATATAAAATAAATATAAAATAAAAAAAAAATACAAAAACATTAAACATTAAACATTAATGTTTTAAAAAAAATGCCTAACATGTAAAATTTTTGGTTAAGAAATAGTACTTGATTTGGTTAAGAAATAAAAAATAAAAAATAATTATCATTTAAGGGTAAAAAATAATTATCATTTTAACTTTTAGGCAGATTATATATATATGTATGGCTATTTCAATTTAATTTGTAAAAAATTATTTCTAACCACTCAAAAGATAAAAATTATATAAAAATGATAATTATTTTTTTTAGTTTTTGTTTCTTAACCAAATTAATTTTTTATTTTTTAAAAAAATTCTAAAAATCAAATCATACATAGCCTAAGAATCTTTTGATAAGTCATTTCTTACGGTGGTAACTTATTTAATTATTTGTTAATTTTATGACATTTTTACCATCTGAAACCTGTTTGGTAACCATTTCGTTTTCAGTTTTCAATTTATATTTACAAAAATTTTAAAAACTGCCATAAAAACTTGTTTGATAATTTTTTTGGTTTATAAATAGTTATCTCAGTTTGTAAATTTGAGAAAAAAACGTAAATTCAAAAAATGAGCTTACATTGGTTTTTAAACAGAAATTTAAAAATTTTACTAACAATTTTTTTTTTCAAATAATTTTTTTTCAATGAATTTTTTTCTCAACTAATACTAACCGTGAGGACAATTGGTAATGCTACTTTAAACCTTAGGGAGGGGATTGTAATTTCTAAAATGTGAGGAGTGTCAATGTAATTTACCTAGCAAGGGCAAAATTGGTATTTAAAAAAAATTAAATTGCTGAGAGGGAGAATCTGTAATGAAACTTTTAACCTCATGAGAGATGCGATTTTCAAAATGTGAGGGGGAAAACTGTAATAAATATAAATTTCAAGAGGTGTCAGTGTAATTTACCCTAATAATAATAAAGGCCTAAAATCTAATCCTTTCATGGGTACCAGATAAGGGTGTAATTTTGGCCCGACCCGGCCCATCAGGGCTCAGGTCGGGCCAGGCCCACGTCGGGCCTTGGGCTCTCGCCAAAAAATCGAGTCGGACCGGGCCAGCCCACGAGCCATAAAATTAGGCCCAGGCTGTCACGCTCCAAAATTTGGACAATCAAACATTCAGTCAATATTCCATCATCCGAATCCTAGGGGTGAAACAAAAAAACTAAACGTTCTCGTCACCATAAGGTCTAAGTAAATTTCCATCCTCCAAAAGATTACAAGGGATAAAAAAAAAATAACAAAACGCCAACCAAACCATCCATTATAATTCCATAACTAACTAATACCTCCAACATTAAAGCAATAATAAATAGTCAAAATAACTTAAATAATGTAAAGTTACAAACCATGCCAAATTGTCAAAATACTAAGGTTAAAAATAAATAAATAAATAACTAAACTAATTTCAACCCTAACTCAAGAAAACACAAGAAGTCCAAGCGACATGTTCAACAACTATAGTTATTCCACGTCACCACCGTAGCCCCAACTAATCCTGCAAAGGAAGCTCGGCTGTGCTCAAACAAAATGCACCCAAGTTGTTAAGAGACAAAACGGATCAGTATACAGGTATACTGGTATGAGTATAAGGTTTAACACCCACGTATCCACCAAATACAAACAAAAATACATTAAATTCTTTTTACGGGACAAGATAAGTAGTTTGAACCGCACCGAGATGAATGGACAGTTTCTCGAGAAACAGTGACATTTAGTTTCTTGCCCGTACACAACAAAATATAAATTGAGGATAAAATAAACAAAATAGAAATAAAAATATGGTGGGTCAGCCCTGCATAAAAAAAAAAAAAAGTTAGTAAGACCTACCATCCTGAAAAAAATATAAAGTTAGTATAATTTAATCATAAGTAACTTGTTGAAAAAGTATAAAAATGCACCGTTTCAAACTTAAATAATTCGAATTGACCAAAACTCAAAGAAAAAAATTTGTATAGAATTAAATTTCCTAAAAGACAATGCGAACGAATCTAGCAGAAGCTGAACAGGTTGAGAGAAAAACTTAATAGAAAAACCTAAATGAAATTCGATCGAAAAATCTGGAACTGAAAACAAAAAGAAACTGCTGTAAGATGAATTCTTTCGGAAAAGTTCAAAACACAAAAAATATTCAGAATAACGTTTTACTTCAGTTTACGAGAAACCAATAAAAATGAGTTTGTTTCGTGGGTTAAAACAGTCTCTAAAATCTGCATTGCTAAAATGAATCAAAACTACTATAACCAATATCATTCGATTATAAGTCCTAATCGATCTTTTTAATAAATAGTTAAAACACAAAAGTTGTCTAGAATCACGTATACACGCCTCTGCTCAAATTTCATAATTTATCGAGGTCGTTTACTATTTTTCAACATGTATAAATTAATACAATTCACACTATAACAATAAACTCATATTTAATTCTTGGTACCTTAACTCCACCACTTCGGCCCTCCACTTCCGGCCTACATATATATCCCATGTGTCTCCCGTATACCTAACACCGCTCCGAAGCCAAACTTGCACGGGGATATCGTCCCGAGTTTGACCCACACTTCCCAGATGGTTTGCATATACGTATGCACGTAAATCAAATCACTTGTCTACTCATGAGAATGAGGTAACAATATACATATACATATACAAAACATCTCACTCATGAGAACAACATAACAATGCCAAGCCAAAGGTATTCAAATAAATCTCATAATCTTCACTTTTTTTTATATACTCTTTCTCACCGTCACTCAAATAAAATAACAATCCATGGAGTCATGGTGGAGCAGAAGGAATTTATCTATGAGTTCTTAATTAATTTTAATTTTATATAACCATGAGT